ATTAAAATATAATAAATATATTTGTAATACTATTTAGTGTATTGTTGCTAAACTATATATAGATCGAATGTACAAACCAAAGTATTTAATATATAGTGGAGATCCATGTACCTTGGGAGATCTTGTACCTAGGGACAGCGGTAGATTTACTTCAAATTTGGCGCTATAATTGCCACAAGCGAACTTCCCGATCATTTGTGTCCAACTGTCCAACATCTCGATCGTACCCGACACAGTCGGCCATTTTGAATGTTCAAGTTAGTGTTTGCGCATTGGCAAAAGTTCGCTTCTGTTTTTTTTTTATTGATTTTCATCAGTGTTTTGAGTGCAATATTTGGAGGTAATAGGACTAATAGGTATCATGCATACTTGTCAGTTAATGTGTATTTACTTATTTTGCTGTTTTTTGATGAATTTCTCAATTAGTTTGCATAACCTCTACTCTCAAATAAAACAAAATGTGACTGTTCCAAGGTACAAGCTATTATATCGTTTGAAAGTTCACTTTAATGTCGCTATTATTTTTGTTGTTTTAGATGCCAACAAGTAAGAAAAAAGTAACAAGACGTAAAGCCAACACGGATAACGCCAAACTAGCTATAGAGAACGTTATAGAACAACGATGGTCAATTCTAAAGATAGCTGAAGAATAATTAATGTTTCAAAATCTTTGATAAATCCATGCCAAGAAAATAAAAAAAGCGAGAATACAATAGTAGTGTACAATCGCAATATTGCTGTAAAAAGTGTGTTTACTGATGAGGAAGAAGAGGAGTTGGTTCAATATTCTTTAAAATGATCCAAACTTCACTATGGCATTTGCAAAGACGAATTTTTGAAGTTAGAATATAAATATGCAGTTATTTTGTAAACAGCCTACCCAAATTCTTGGAACACAAATAAAGCAGTTGGAAATACGTTTTATGGCTGCTTCATCAAACGAAACCAAAATCTAAGCCTGCGAAAATCAGAAGTAACAAGCTTAGCTCATGCTACAACTTTTAAAGAGGCTAATACTTCTTCAACAAGTCTTTTAAAAAATGCAGGGACTTGCTGCCCAAACACAATTTCACTTCTGAAAACATATACCATGTAGACGTATCTGGGTTGTTTACTGGATGGAAGTTGTAGCCCCAAAAAAGAGACAAAGTAACTGATATAGGAAATTGTAATAGAAAATTCGGTGCCTCCTTCTATGATATTTCCAAGAGTGCAGTTTAAGCCCCACATGAATAATGACACACCCCCAGAAACATTGGGTCTTGACCATGGAAACATGTCCGAGCCAATGTGGAAAACAAGGTGCACCTAATCATAAACAATCACGAGAGTCACTTGTTTATTAAAATTATAAATTTGGCTAAAAAAACGGCGTAGTCATGTTAACATTCCTTTCTCATATAAGCCACAAGCTACAGCCCTTAGACCGTTCCGTTTTTTGCCCACTGAAGAAATACTAAAGCAATGATTGAACCCATTGGCTTTTGCATCATCCAGGAACGCCACTGACTATTTATAACATCGTGGAGTGTTTTGAAACTTCTTTTACGTTGGTGTTTACACCTTCTAATATACAAGATGGTTTTAAAGTGGCGGGAATATGTCCATTTAATGATAATATATTTAGTTAAGACAAATTTATTAGCTCTTTTGTCACCTATAGACCTTTGCACTGTGAGGAAACTGTTACAGATGCGCCAAACTTGGTGTCAAACACCACTGATTCTCAATAAAATGTAGCTTTACCTGGCCCATCGAATCTATCCAATGGACAACAGCAACTGGAAGGTAATCCAGTTATCACGGAATCTCCAGTACCATCTACATCCGCAGGTGCAAATAATGTGCTCAAATAAATAGTCTATTATCACAAAAAGTCGTTCGACCTTATCCAAAGGCATCGCCAAGGAAACAAAGTCTCGAAACAGAAAGGGTAGGACTAGAGAGTATTGTGAGAGTATTATATTATCAGTATTATCACAAATAAAGAATATTTATGTTTTAAATTTTGCAATTATGACTCCTTTATTCTAAAACAAAGTAAAAAATAAAGTTCTTGTATAAACATATTTCGTCTCACGGTACAAACGTCACTGTCCCAAAGTACAAGACGTGATTGTACCTTGGGACAAAATCACAAAATCAGTTTTGTGATTTCATTTGTTCATTCAATGTCAAATCATTTTTTTATACTTAAAAATATATTGTTATTACTATGAAGATGTGATATATGAAAAATCGATACTTCAAGTTAATTAGAAAAGAAGTTGTATGTGATTGAAGAAAAGTGTCCTAAGGTACAAGGATCTCCGCTACTGTGATGATGTGAGCTATTATAGGAAGACTAAAATACCGTTAAATGTTAAAATAATTTAGCAGATTCTATTTCATCGCAAAAATAAACTATCATAATAATCGTAATATTAATTAACCAGTTAATGGTCCAGAAGCTGCAAATATTTGCACGAGTTATGGGTTTGAAATAACCTGGAATTAATGTCCTGTCTTAATTAATGTAAAATAAGAGCTAATAAGAGGAAAAGAACACAAATGAAAACAATACTATGGGTCATTACTAACATAAAATAGTGATTAATTTTTAACCCAATTACAAAGGAAAGTAAGCATTAAATATGAAGAAATAATGATAGAGGCTATAAAAATAAAAAAGAGCTACTAAAAACTGAAAAATAGTAGATAACCAGAACCTAATTAGTAGAGTAATAACGGAAGACTCAGAACGAGATGATTGGATGACGGAGGATTGACGATGGAGGACAAATTTGAACGATGAACACAAGTGTACGGAGACTGTCACACGAGAGGTCTGAGTGGAAGCAAATAACTAGGTAATATCTGGAAGCATACATAACAATGTTAAAGATAATATCACATATACACAAAAAACATTGAATCCATATATTATATATGTCAATTTATTGCGACCTGTTTAATCGCAATTTTAAATTTTATATATTTAAAAATCCTCAGTCGACCCTATATCGATTCTTTAAAATCATTAATATGAATAATAAAAAAAAAACAAAAATAATCGATGTACAGAGAAGCAAGCAAGCAAGTAGATAACTCGAGCCAGCCGCTACGACCATATCGACGCAACGGCTGGCATATTCGCCGATGCCGCAACCTATATCATAGAAAACTAACGGCAGGTTTTCACGTATCCAGTAACTGGCGCCAGTCGCACTGGCACGATAGCGCTGGCATCATGTAAAAACTTTTTTGCGTCAGTTCATTTTATCTCGAATATTCTCGTTCTCGTCTCGTTCTATTTTTCATGCCAGTGGCCCTCGTCCGCATCCCCTCGAACCCCGCGTCGGCGGTTGTACACATTGTGTAAACACATCGCTGCAGTCGCTTGCGTATTATACCCACGATACACTTACAAGTGTACTTGTAAGTGTATCGTGATTATACCTGTAGAATACAACAAATGACTGACTTTGCCAAGTAGGACCTGACGTGCCAGTGAGACTGACAGCTACTGGATACGTGTAAACCTGCCTGTTCAGCACTGGCATGCCAGTAAACTGTCGCCAGGTCCTGGATACGTGTAAACGTGCCTTAAATATGAACCTCCAATTGGTCCTAAATAAAAAAAATTAAACGTCGTAAATAAAAAGACTATTTACATTGAGTTTTATTTTTTCGCTAGTTAGTATCACTAAAAATGCTGAGATTTAGCACACATCCATAACTCAATAATTGACATAATTTCATGTAGTTATGTTACATGTCACTATGCAAAAAATAAAGTTATTAAGATTTATAAATTACTGCAAAAATAAGGGATTTTTGAAATTATCTCGATGAATTGTTTATGTATTTTAATTTAGACACTTTAAAATCAAATAACTTTTTAAGATTTGTAACTTTATTTAAACCATTTTTCTCTAAAATGTATAAGCCACGTTTTATAGCCAACAAATGAATTTTTTACTTTTTATGATTGTATAAAAAAACAAAGCAAAATCAGCTGTACGTCTTCAAGGATTTGTCATCAGCTATCCCTCACATACCTTTTAGAACCTTCAAAAACCTGTATAAGATTTTTTTCCTTTACTGGCCTAATAGATATACTGCTTAATCTGCAATGTGTGTTCACAAAAGAAGAAGTCTGCACACTATTTACTAAATTACTTCAGCAAGTTTCAAAATGTTTGGATAATTATCCAAGCATTATTTTTATTTCTCTGATAGCAGATTAGCTAAATTTGCTTTTTCCTAACTTTAATTTTTTTAGCATCAATTTGGATTTTATTTTTTGTCCGACTGTTGCACCTAGTTAAATATAAGATCTAAGCCGCCTACCAAAATAGATCTCTGGAATATTTTAAATACTTTGGTTATGTTAAGTAGAAAAACAAAAATATAGTAAGAACTAACCATAAAAAGATGTAAATGATGTGTTCTATGGAAAGATCCTGACTATTTAACAATATATAGAGGTCTATATAGGAAAGAAGTCGTTTATGAGATCTCCTGTGTTCTTCTAGTTTCTTAAGGCGCTAAGTACCATACATTGGTATGCCTTTAGTGATGGCAGTTAATATAATCATGGTGCATCCTTCACAAGTTTTCGATTTTTCAGGTGCTGTCTTAATAAACAGTGTTCTATACATAGTACACACTATCATCCTAAGAAAACTCTATATATCTAATGTAGAAGAACAAATTAATTTTAATTCTAATAACTATATCTTTTGGAAGGTTATTTCTGAGCAGGAAAACTAGAAACTGTATTAAATACTGATTGTAGATAGTTGCTGCATAAAATTTATCACAGAATGTATTAATTTAATTGTATATGAGTTAAAGGAACTTTAATGAAATGTTACTTAATCTAAAAATATAAACAAAATACTACTCAACAATAATTACTTAAGATTCTGTCTTACTAGTAAATCCATAGAGTATAGAGACGAACGCAGAATTGGTGCAAAACTTTTTTGAATGTTTTAAGTTAATATTTACTAGATCTATTTCAAATTTTTACGAAGCCAATTGTTCACTTCTTCCTCATTCTGCGAAACCCAGTTGATATTCAACTGAATTATTTCTAAGCTCTGCTCTAATGCCCTTGAAGCTGATCCTACGTCCATGCCATTAAAATATGTTGATACCTATAACGTATAAACCAGTTAACAAAATCAGTATTTTTTGATAAGCAGTTTGTTATTGCTAATTACTCCTATTAATCACACTAGCTAAAAAAATTATTAAAAAATTAGCGAGCATTAAAAGAAAAGCGAGTCATCTCATACCTCGTAAAAATCATATGGTGTAGACAAGTGTGCTGTAACAGCTGATATGAGATTTCCCATTAACATTGTACTATTTCCGTATAGGGAGTGCATTGTAGGCCAATAGGCTTTTAGGTGTCTCCATGCTAATAGTCTTCCTTCTGGATTTGCGGCTACTACTTCTAGAACCAGTTTTACATCTTCGGGTTTCACTAGGTTCGTATCCAGAGTTTCTATTAAATACCTAGAAATATTATTATAATCAACATTTATGCCTTTGAAGTTAATTTTTTGCGCATGCGAATTCATATTCATGAGATTTTGAAAAAAATCTAGCTTGGAATTTAAATTAACAGGTATATAGGTACATAACTTTTTAAAAAAATTATCATTACTTTTTAGGGCTATAAAAAGGCTCTAAGATAATATAAGAATGCGCTAAGAAGTTCTAAAATTAGAACATTGAAGAAATTCTGCTTTTGCAAAGTTACAAATTATAGCAATATGTCTGTTTGTAAATCTCAAAGGACCAGCGATCAATTGATCGCAAAATTTTAGATTATAACAGTTTACGGATTGCTAACATGATGATTAGAGTGTGACTTCCGAAATATTTTTATTTTATCATTTACATAATTTACTAACAGTATGTGAATGATCAACCAATCATCTTTTTAAATATTCTTAAAGTAAATAAATACGATAGATAGAACGATAAAGTCTAACTGTATCATCGACAATCCTGGAGCATAATTTTGGTTTAAAAGTCTTTTCAAGGTCTATATAACGCCAGATACATATTTTTTCTGTTGCTGATATGTTTTCATTATTTACTTGATGGTAAATATATCATTATGGGTGTTTCTGCCTTTTCTAAATCCATTTTGTGATTCCTCAAGTGTGCTGTCAATTTTTTTTAGTTATTCTTTTGTTCAATATTTTTTCGTATATTTTTATGACAGTATTTAAGAGATTTACTCCCCTGTAGTTATTGCAATTCGTTCTATCATCCTTTTTATAAATCGATACTATTTGAGATTTCTGCCAGTCAATTGGTATCTGTTCTTCTCTGGAATTTAAACCAGGGCGATCTTCAGATTGTTTGAGAAGATTGCCAAGTTTTGTTGGCAATATTTTGTTGTTTTTGTTTTGTTCAAAAGAAAAACAGAGAAGTCCAAATTGTGTCAATCGCCATGTTTCATTTAATCGAGACTTTCTTCCGCTCCACCGTCAATTATTCTCATAACTCATTATCAAACTTACTTCTTCATTAGTATTTAAATTCTCATCCTTCTCTTATCACCTACTAATCATCCTTAGCCCCCTCAAACTTTCTTCAATATATCCAACTCCCCTTCTTTCCTCACTTCTGTCTAGGCATCCAAACGTCAAATCTGACCTAATACCCAATATTCTCCATGCTCCTTCTCAACAAAATAAATTCAGAGCAGATCATGCCACTTCTTCTCCAAAAACAATTTTCATTAATATACACCATCACCCACTCAACCACATATCTTCACCTTTTCATACTGCGTTTTTCATTTTCATTTATAACTTCCTTTTACTCATCCAATTTCCCTCAGGGTTTGGTTTTCGGGTCTCTGGGGTCTTCAGTTTTTTAGTTTTCCCCTTCAACTTCACAATAACATTTAAACATCACACATCTTTAGTAAACTTGACAGACCCACCTTAAACACAACTACTCTTACATTTCCACATATTGTCACAATACACTCCATAAGCCTATTAACTTTTCACCTACCTACTCTAACTTATAACTCATCCCTTTTTACTTTTATATTTCTTAGGCACCAAATGTTCCTTTTAACATATAGGGCCTTTTGTTTTCTTGAGTTATAACTTGAGCAATGTAGGAACAATATCACACCTAACCATCTTTTAGCCATCAATTTTCTTTCAGTCTGGCATACTTGCCCACACACATAAACAACCTACCATATTTACTTTACACACATAACCAGTAATTCATGTTCACGTACTTATAACTTAAAAATTTTTATTTATCTTTACTAGGTACCAAATGTAGTTTTTTGACATAGATGGCCTTCCACACTTAAGTTTTAAGTTGAGTACTATACGAACACCACATTATGATCACATTCTTATCATATTTACATTTCAGCTCAACAACATATCTAAACACACCTCCACCTACTACATCAATACTCAATAATAAATCTTTTAGGACCCATCTTCCCACATGCGCTTTTTTACCATTTTCTAGGTACCAAATGTCTCACAACATACAGGGCCTTTTGACAAAATCTTTAGCTTAAAATAAATAGATCCTTACACATGTATAGTTGGTTGCCTATCCATCCTACAAAATTTCATAAATTCCAGTTGACCTACATTAATTTTTAAAAAAAAAATTTTCAATGTTTCAAATATAGCTATTTGATTAATTTACAATACATATTACAATATTGATGGTTGATACTGTTACATTATTATAATTTTAACTTTTTCAATTTTAAATAAGGCTGACATCTGTCACTTTTAGACAACTACCGTAAGTTACACTGACTGCTCTGACACAACATCCGTCCTAACATGTCAACAATGTCATTTTGATCAGTTGTTATCAACAGGTCCTCGTAGACACTTCGTCTCAGGACCATTTTACTTATGTAGAGTCATACGCCGCCATGTTACCTATCCAACGGTAACTTAACCATCACAAATTATAAATACTAATAATGTAAAACAACTTCAAATTTTAAACATTTAAAGGTTTTTACCCATATATTTTGGTGGCTACTAGCATGTACAACCGTAAGTATTAACCACATTTTGCTCTAACCTTTGTCAACATTTTCATTTAACGTTCTTTTTAATTAAAGTGGTTATATGCTTTCAGGTTTGCACTAATGATGGACTGTTTAATCTGAAAACGTTTTGCAATGTGTTTGTGATAGCCTGTTTGGGGCATTTTTATATACCTTTTATAAAGGATTTTAACCAAAATTTTTTTGTGATATATGGTATACAGACAGCTACAGGAACTTAGTTTCCTCGAGGAATTTTAATGGGAAAGTATTTTAGGTCATAATCTTCTGCACAAAAATATTCTTAGAGCGTCTGAAAACTAAACTCATAGTAATTACAGATATTCTCACTACTCACTCGAATATAATATCTGTAAAATAGACAAAGTAGTCAGAGCAACAAGAAGATTCTGCGAAAATGCCAAATGCCAAAGAAAATAGTCAAACATACTGTCTGCAAATAAAGGGGAAGTGTTCGCCAACGCCATGGATAACTGGAACAGCTACTTTTAGTTCGTAATATGTGAAATGGTGAAACGTTAAGAAAGCCAAACAACCCTTTAAAATTTACAATCTACAATCATTACCTTTGTAATAACCAGGGATCAGAAGCAACCCCCAGCGCTTTTAACAGCATTTGCTTTTCATTCCCATCTGTTGAGTTCTTGTAAAAATTCCAGCAATATTGCCATTCATTCATCCCTCCATATTTAACTCCTGCAGAGTAGATTATTTCTTTTAAATTTGGATCTACAGTTTTATTTTGTATCATCCAGTTCTGAAAATGAGTTTTTGCCACGGATATGGTTTCGTTTAGCTCACACAGTATGGCCGCAGATAGAACTCGTCCTCTTAAAAGCCTAAAATAATAAAATTCTAAATAAATAATTTTCTGTTATAAAATAATTTATACTAAATAAACCATAATTCTATAAACTGTACAAATCTATATATTATTAATTGTATTCATAATATAATAGTAGGTATTTATTATGGGTTTTGCTTATTATCTTACTTTTGTAAGTGAATAAACCGATACAAGGATGTATAGAAAGATTAGATGGGGAATTCTAAGTTCAAACTAACATGTTTTAACATGCAGAATACTAAATATTAACATGCTTAAATTAATTCGAAGATATCGTGTCTTTTCGTCATGAAGCTCTTGCCTATAAGCTAAGTTTCAATACTCATCTTTTTTATGTGAAATTATCTGTAATTTTGCTGTCCTTTGATAGTCGTAATCCAGCCATGGACGTTTCGGTCGTATGTACAATGACCTTTACGAGAGTGGTTAATCCAGTGTGTTACGTATCCAAAAAATCCAAGTATTGGCTAAAATCTAGAGCGCGGCTTACGAAAAATAGCTAGCGGTCGATAGTGGCCGCAGTGAAAGTATTAAAACGATAGTCGATAAAATAATAAGGTAGTTTGGTGAAAGTGCACAAACAAAAGAGATTACTTAAAAAATCCAGGGAAATACACACCAAAGGGCCATGGAGATAAGTCCAAATTCAAATATGTTTACTTACATTATTGAATTTGGATATTGTTTTAAACTATAGTAGTAGTAGAAAATGAAGTTTTGACAGCAGGAATGTAAAAAAACCAAGAAGCAGATCTATGATCCACCCTGCTATTGAAGTAGTAACTACGTAGAAGCTACTAAAGAAGAAAGGGGCAAAAGCCAAATTTCAGCTAGGAGGAAGAGAACGAAGCTCCCAAAATAAATAGAAACAAAAGAACACCTACTATAATGTAAAAACTTCTTTGGTAAAATGATACAAAGCAGCGATGCCGCTCATGTCGGCACAGTAGTAGGTGTGTGGTAGTTTGGCGATAGATTGAAAAATCAGGACCGTACACGCTTCGTTTCAAAATTCTTTACTCATTAATTTAACTTAGTCAAATTAGAGAATAAATAAAAAAAAACAAAGTAATTCTAAAGCAAAATGTCTTTATACATAAACTATCTAATAATTCGTAAATAGGTACTTATATACATATATACAAAAAAAAGCATGTAGTTTACCCTATACGACACGATAATTATAGCCACATAATGAGCTCAGATGACCCTATACTCGGTTCACAATTTGTTGATAGCTCACTACAAGTTTAATCCTAATTAGAGAACTGAAATACAGAGAGGATAGGTAATACGATATAATAGTAAAAACCAACCTGAAACTGACGATTTAAGATGTTTTCGACTAACCCACCTTGTATCTGCCGGAATACAATATAGCGGTCAAGCTTATAATCCGATTAGGAACGTATTTTGGCCGACCAGTGTCGTAGAGTATATGATTGAAACATTTATTTGAACCAAATAAATATATTTTTTAAATTGTATTTTTGTTTTAATAAAACTTATAATAAAATAAAATATTTTATTCAAAAATAAAGTTTTTTGCCATTTGTAAAAGATACATTTATTTAATTAAGGGGAAAGGCACCAAATGTGTTTTAAATGTATCCATTATTTTCGAATTCGGAGAAAACTAATACATATTTTTGAAAAATTTAAAAGCAGAATGAAAGATTACATTATTACTGAGGGTATTCTATATGTGTATACTGATGTATATTACAGAAAGTCCCTGAAAACTTCTACAATGTTTATTTTATTATGTTATGCAACAGGGGTGAAAATAAAAGAGAGAATATAGTATAATTTTTAATTGAAAATATTGCATGCAAAAGAAACTTTTTATTTATTCTAATAAATATATTATTCTGCCTTTAAATTTTTCCAAAAAGGCTTTTAAGTTTTCTCAGGATTTGAAAAGAAATCGATACATTTAAAACACATTGAACATTTTGACAGGCGACGTTTTGTGCCTTTCCCTTTTAATACCTTACGATTACAACTACTATCACTTACCTTATATAATTACGATTAGAAAACTATTCAAATTCAAAATAAATAGGATCAACCTCGGAATCCGAGTCGTCTTGAGGGTTAATAATTAGCGGTTGTGTCTCTACGGTCGCATCAATAATTATGTTATCAAGATCCCACATTTTTTGTTCTTCTTCTATTACATGTCTTACTGCATCTTTCCAGTTTTGTTCTGTAATGTGTTGTAAAGACTCGTATAACAATTCACGTACAGCTTGTATTTTATATGACGTATTTTTTTAGCCACATAACTTTTCATTTGTGCCCAAATGAGTTCAATTGGATTTATTTCGCAGTGGTAGGGTGGAAGTCTAAGGACTGTGATGTTTCTCCTTTCCGCCATTTTGTCAACTACGTATTTCTTGAACTTAGATTTGTGTTGCCGGGCAATTTTTAAAAGTTCTGCTTTTACCATTCCATCTTCGTAAGGCAGGTACTTATTCCGCAGCCATATATTTTTATCTGACCAAACTTTTTTTAGAGTATGACCTGAGTTTACCAACGATTCATCCTGGTAGCCTTCCTTCAGCCTGGAATTTTCATATGGATCTTAGATAATTTCTTCTCCAACATATTATCTCCTCCCGGTCAATCAAAAGTGATTTTCGGTCTGATTTCTCCCACCGGAAATTTAATTCTTTTAAAACTTGCCACAATTTAGTTCGTCCGATATGAGACAAATCCGGATCATCTCTAACTTCTTGTAAAATTTTATTTAGGTTTGTTATTTCTTTTTTGAAAAAAAAAATCCATGAATTTTCCTTCGAATACCATTTTTGGCAAATTCATCAAGTTCAATAGGCTTTTTCCCTCTCTTTAAATGTTCGTTTGTGTTTGGGTTAGCTATACCGTGTTTTTTTCTTTCTGATAGGAACCTATCTATAGTTGACTCCCCTACGCCAGTCATGTTGGCACAACTTTCGACTATGTTGCGAACAGTGTTTGTGGGATTCTGAGAAACCAGAGCATCGTGAACATTCAGGACAATAGTCTTCTCTCTTGGTGAATAGACAGACTTACTGACTGTACGCAACAGTACCGGTGTAAAACTTGATGATGTTGATGATGAAGCCATCACAAACAATCCAACAAAACGAGCACGACCGAAAGGTACGTATATGTTCGTAGGTATATGGAATAAAAAATCACCGACGCACTGCATATAATTCGCAAAAGAAATATTCGAGACGCTAATTACTGCCGTAGAAGCGGAAATACCGACGAGCCGTAAATTACATGCGATCAAAAACGTACTAAACAAACAAATTGTTTTCGTTCGTAATAACTTCAACCTTTTAAATTAAGTTTCGAATATAAACTAAACAGACGAGGTACGTGGCCAAATCCGGCATCTATACCCATTATATTATTAAAAATCTAGGGAATTCCATCCTAATTATCTTGCAACCGATAGTTCCTTCGGATATAAATACCAGGTTTTCTAGTAAAGTGATTAAACGCGAAGATTAGTATTGAAATATCCAAAGAGATAAGGTATTCTTATTTACAAAATTGTTAATGGTTAAATTATTATTTTTATTAATATAATATAATAACCAACATTAGCCGTGAAAGTTTTAATTGTTTTTTACTAAATATATCAGTATTAAAACATTATTAATATTAATATTAATTTTAATGAATAAACACCTCAGGAACGCCTATGATGATACAAATTTTACGACCGTTTGATGATTTTGAGGCATATTTCGTGCTATCAACAATTTGTGAACAGAGAATAATTACAAAATTAAAGTAATGAACATTTACATTGTTTGAATTATATACACAGTTTATATTTAATTTTAAACAAAACACTAAATCCAATATTAGAAATTGTTTGGGAAAGTATGTACTATTTCTTTTCAAATTTTTACATTTAATATTTTTCTTTTAGTATACTATAATATGATCTAATTCAATGCTGTATTCTAACGACTTTGTTAAAATATATTGCTTCCTGCTATTTCGTAAAATTGTTGTATTTGCTATTTTTCGCTAATTTATTTACAAACAAAATATTGAATTTTTTTTTCATTATTATTTATCTAATATCATTTAACCAGCGGCCTCTTAAGTTTTATACCAAACAGAAATAGAATTTAAAGAAGAATGAAAACTTACTTTTCCATATGTGATTTGTTCTTGTTCCATCCAACATATTTCGTAACTGGTGTCAGTAAGAGCCGCATATACTTCAGGAAAGATTTGTATGCTAAAGATTCAGATAATCTTCGAGCCCAAGATTTCAAGTGTTCTATAGCAGCTGCCCAAGGAGCATAATCCCTTTCATTATTTAAGTATAAGGATAGTTCTAATGCTACACTTACGTTGAGAACTCCAGCTCTAAAAATAGTGAATGGTCATTGCAACGTAAAGGTTTTATAAATTACAAATTCACAGTATATTAATAATCATAATATTAAGAGTCTGGAACTCAAAAGATTTGTATTAGGTCTCGGAGGTAAACAAACACACTCGAGCACCAGTCGCCGACCTGGGTCAAGCCCAGAGCGGTGACTCGGCGCCCACACAAGCAACAGCAAATCGAAGATAAGTCAGTAGCAGGACTAAAGCGCCTCACGCTGCATTATTCGGTAAAGAATTCATATAAGGTGCTTGTACCCGGAACCTTCATACGGCAAGCATTTTGATAAAACTAGCCTCCTATAGCGTATCAGCGTGCTGGGTGTGTGAGATGACGGAAAACCTGGGGAGCATTGAGGCTCGGAGGAGTGGTCTCTGATTTACTCTGAACAATCCTCCTTACCCCAATTATGCCAAAGCTGCTTCATATACCGTTGGCAGAAGATTCGTAAATAAAGCTACAGATGTAGCACTAATCCAGGAGACTTAGACTACTGGTACCCAATACCCAGAGCATTTATTGTACCTAGGAAAGATATTAATCATATCTCACTTTAAGATTTCTGCATGAAAGATGTGATTGCAGTCCAAATCACTATAAAAGAGGAAGCGGGCAGACGGGATATAGTCATATGTTCTGTATACTTCTCAGGCAAAAGAGCAGCAACAGATCTCCCTTCTATGGCGATTCGAAAAGTAATCAAATGCTGTGGAAGTAATGGACAAGTCATCATTGACTGTAATGCTAACTCACATCATATGGTATGGGGAAGCAAAAGGACCGATGAACGAGACGAGTACCTTTTTAACTATATTCTAGGAGAAGCGCACATATTGAACAATTAAGGGTATAAAAATACCTTAACTAATTAAAAAGTCAGCTCGGATCACCGACACATTGACTTTACCTTATGTACAGGTAAATCACCCTTAATTAGCTACAGGGATCCGAAATGCACAAATTGGGAAAAATATCTAACCGATTTGGAAGCAAAGATAGTAAATAAAATAAGTAACATCCAAACATATTTACATATTGAAGAGCCCAATGATCGGATCAGGGAATCAATTCTCACATCATACCAAAAGAACTGCCCAACCAAAACCAAAACAAACACCTTTGTGGGGCAAAAAACTGGAAAAACTAAGAAAAGAAGTAAGGAAGTTATCGAATAAAGCCAAAGAGTTGGGGAACTGCTAAACATACAGAAAAACTCGTAATGAATATAACAAAGAGCAAAGAAGTGCGAAAAGAGAATCTTGTAAAAGGTTCTGCCAAAGTATGTCAGATATAATTGCTATCACTAGAATCCACAAGATTTTTCCAAGGATCCAGAATGGAGACCAGGCCTACTTAAAAGACCTGATGCCACTTTTGCCAAATCTAAAAAGGAAACGCTAGAGCTCTTACTACAGAACCATTCCAAGGAGCACCAATTATTGATGAGCAGACTCAGGCTGAAAATCTAGAACAACCTAAACGTCCTAAGGAAGAAGACAGAATTCTTTGCAATAAACATCAAACTGGAGAATGTCAAGTGGGCCATAAACTACTGCTCCGTTTAAATTTCCAGAGAAGGATGGAATATTTCCTGTCCTACTACAAAAAGGATTAGACATCTTATTGCACATCCTAACCAAAATCTTTAAGGCTAGCAGATAGCACTAGGTTTTAAACCGACAACTGTAAGGGTGGTGTACATATACAAAATAGGACAACAAGACAACGCCCTGTCTAAATCCTACAGGCCGATCAGTCTTACATAATTTCTGTGTAAGATAATAGAAAACAATCTTGATAGACATATTAAGAAGGGGCCATTGAGAGATCATTCTCTCAATGATAACCAGCATGTATATCTAAAAAGAAGAATCAGCAGAAACAGCACTGGATGAAATAGTTTAGCAAATTAGTCTCTCCATTAATAATGAAGAGATGGCATTAATCGCCTTAACTCTTAAATATGATTATTATTTAAATTTATTAAATAGATACAACACATTAAATACATACAAACATACCTGGATAAAGAGAATGCATCATCAATTAAACTGGCTCTGTCGGCGGCACTAAAAACCTTGTGATTGGTTTTCAAGACCTTAATTAATGATGCCCAAATATCGTCGTCGTACATAACCCTGTAGAAGCCTGTTTGGTTTACGTTGGCTTTGATCCACTTTATGTCGCCAACTTCAAATTTTGCTAAAAAATATGCCATAATTTATTTCTAAGATATTAGTATCAACAACACACTTAAGTTAGGTAAATATAAACAAAATTTATATATCTACATATACTCAGTGACATTAGAAGTATTACACCCAGAGGGAATAATTTCTTGAGCTTAATTTTTTGGTAACAGAATGACTATATTTAAAACATACTATGATAACAATACCAATGTTTTATCTTTTCTACTTTTTGTAAAAATAAAGTATTATCTTTAAATTTTTTTGTAAAGAGACCGATTGGTGATGTAAGAAAATGCCTTGAGTTCGAAGACACCAAAATTAACACCATGTTAGCGATTTTGACAGGGGTATAAATATTGCGTATAAAAATATGGGTTTGTCGTATCGCGAAATTGGCCGTCCTGTTAACTGTACGGCAATGACCAACTGGCCAACCAAGGCGTACCGCAGAGCATCAAGATAGGCGCTTTAGATTACTAGCTCTGCGAGACCGTTTTGTTACTACGCGTCAAGTTGCTGACCAATAATTTGGAGTAGTAGGCAAACCTGTTAGTATGCGAACACTATACCGTCGCATTCGAGCCTTTGGACTAGTTTCATTTCAACGAAAACTAGTGCTTCCTTTGACTACAGACCACTGTCATCAACGTTTGAATTGGTGCAGAGAACGGCAGCATTGGATGGTAGAATGGCGTAATGTAGCATTCACTGATGAATCCCGATTCTGTTTAGGAATGCATGGTGGTTGTAGGAGAGCAAGACGCCACCGTAAAGAGCGATGAGATATCGAGTTTACTGTTGAGAGGCATGTACACAGGACAGTTAGAGTAATGATTTGGGGTCTATTGCCTATGGTAGCCGATCACCAATTGTGTTTATTAGAGGTAATTTAACAGCTGCGCGTTATGTTGATGCCATCTTACAAACCACTTTACAGCCTTATCATGACGGCCGTCGAGACGTCATTTTTCAGCAAGACAATGCGCATCCCCATATTACTCGTCAAACTATAGACTTTCTCCAAGAAAAGGGCGTTAATGTTTTGCTGTGGCCGCCCCGTGCTCCGGACTTAAATCCTATCGAACATGTATGGAATATGCTGAGATATGATGGGAAGGAGACTGCCCACTTTGCATCATCCTTCACAGACTTCTGGTACAATTAATGCATGAAGTTCAAGTTGCTTGGAACGAGGTGCCACAAGCAGACATCGATCATCTCATTTTGACAATGCCTAGACATATACAGGAGTGTATTCAGCTACGGGATCGCCAAACACATTATTAATGTTTTTTTTTTTATTATTTGTTAATAAAAATGCTTGACCACGTTATTGTTTCATTCTTGATGTAAATCTACCATATTGCCAAAAAATCAATTTCAAGAAATTATTCCTTTTGGGTGTAACACTTCTAATGTCACTGAGTATATTTATTTAAGCCTTATGAAACTTTCTACTCTTTATCTACTTTAGATTTCTCATCTCGTCCGTTATACATGTTGGCTTATTCTCTTAACAATTTATGTGTCTACAAATTTTTTAGACTGATTAGTTGAACTTAGGCAAGGGCGTGCGGTTCACGGATGCAAGGGAAGCATTGCATCCCCTAAAATCTAAAATTTCTTTTCAGTAGTTAAAATTATATAATCATATTTCTAATTTCTCTGTAATAATTCAAATATTTAAAGATAAATGTTTGCTTAGGTATATGTTTTTCAAGAAATCATTAAATTAGGTTACGAATGACAATCACTGGCAACAGCGGACAGAAACTAGTGCATGGACTACCTAAGTCTGACGTCACAATGGGCGGGGGTTTTAAAACTCTTTCCAAACTTTTCTAATTTGTGTGTATTTGTCGCCTAAGAAGTTGGAAATATTGATTTTTTTAATTGTTTGAAGAATAAATAAGAACTTTTGGTTATGAACATTCATTCTGTGTGATTGGTATTATTTGTTGTTCGTGAATTTGTGAGGTAACAATATCAAGGAATTAAGATAGTTACTATAAATGTTCATATTTTAAGGTTATGTTATGGTTTGATTTAAACTTTAATTATTTTTTACTGTATTTCAAGGTATTTTGTTGTGGTTTTTATCATTATTATTTCAAAATTAATCAATAAAGCATTGAATTTATTTAAGAAGTTAAAAAATATTTAAATAAATGTTTTGTTCTTTTTTCGTTACCAGTAATTTTATCCTGTTAAATACTAAAGATATTCTTTTCTCTTATTGGTTTTCTCCAGTTATTTTGCAGCTATTAAATAAGGTTTTCCTAATTTTTTCCTTTTTTAAGGCTCCAATTATATCCATATGTATTTTCATCGACAATTAGGTAAAAGTTGTTATCGCTTAAAGAAACTTTAATTTCCTTAATTACTCCGTCATACAATGCAATCTTATTGCCTTTCTTAGTGTTGCCTCGTAATGAATATTAAAATTAATTTTGCAATTTTTTAACGAAATATTTAATGCTAACGAAGCTTTACGCAACTCTTGATTAAACAATCATTTTTCTATTTCTTTGTTGATCTTGATCTTAAATATTTTGAAGAGATGTATTAATCAACTGGTGAACGGATCCTAATGCAATATTTTTTAGCTTCAATAGCGTCTTTTCACGAAAATCTTTAGAAGAAAAAAATGTTCAAGTATCAAAAAGCAATCAATTTTCATGGAGCTAAAGAACAAAAGCGGATTTGATGAATTTTTGTATTTTGATACAGACCTTGCAAAATACTTTGTCTCCACTTAGCTTTAACTTGGGAAAACACTTTATCCAAGTACTTTTTTAATGGTAGACATATTTAAATTTAATATATATATATATATATATATATATATATATATATATATATATAAATTTAATATATACCAAACACGATACAACGTCTACTTGAAACAAATGTTTTCCGGGAACTCACAAAATAATTAGACCCTTGAAAGTAGGTGGTGGCGTAGACTTGCTACGCTAATAAAATAATATTTTTCTTGAAAAACTCATAAATATTAAATTAAGGTAGAAATGGGAAGGTCCATATATATAGATAATGAGCTCGTTCATATTAAAATTATAAAATTCCAACTAGGGACAATTTTATTCTTTTATTAAAATTAATTTTAAAATTCATAAAGTAAATTGTGTTTAGCTTAATTATGCAATGTTGTTTGAAACGAGCAAAAATACTTATACTATGCTAGTGCAGAAGTCCAGACCTAAGGCCTAGAAAACAATGTATCATTAAAGAAATTATTGTTGTACTCAGTATATACTTACTTTCAGTCATATTCATCCACACATATTTAACTTCGCTGTCATTATTACTGAAGTAAGTTAGAGGGATATGCCATTTATAATCATAACCAGAAGGAGGCAGTGCATGATGTGTATTGTTTCCTTTTTCGACTGTAACCAAAAATCTTTTTTGTGTGGCGACAATAGTGTTATTCTCTCGCTTTAAAGTTACAAGTGGAAAGCCCATCTGATTCGTCCACGTGTCCATTACCACCTGGAAATTTTCAAGAACGTAAGATATTTCACGAAATTGTTTTAATGAAGACCACTCGAGAAAAAGTAAAAATGCTACAATGTGGAACTTTCATTCAAAATAGAAATATAGTGCACAGCTTTTTCTTTTTTTTTTCTGGTGTCTTATAATATATAGAGTATAATAGTTTATGCTGACTGAATGATATGCAAGTATCCTTCTTCGGCTGATATTATTGAGTTGGCGTGAGATATGCTGCAACAGTTAATTATGTATATTAGAATAGAATAGAAATATGCTTTATTGTCACTGAAAATTATTGAACAATTTTATGGACAAAGCTAAAAAAGAAATCAGTCAAATAATACAAATAATACAAAAAGTATAAAACAAAAACAATATAGTAAAAAACAGAATAACACAATTATAAATTAGTAAAATTATTGTATAACCTACATAATTTGTACAGACAACAACAAATGAGACAAATTGTAGCCACTGCTTGAGACACCCAAATGTAATTATAAACAATACTAATTTTGTTTCTTTGTTATACATTAAGAAACTCGTCAACTGAATAATATGGTCTTTCTGAGAGATAGATTTTTGTCACCTTACGAAACTTAATGAAGGATGTTGCGGATTTAATTTCTCTTGGAAGGTGATTATAAAGTTTCTTTGCACGATATAGAATAGAATTCTTTACTAGCTGAGTGGACGGGATCGGCAAATAAACGTTACAATCCGAATTTCTAATGGAGTAGCCATGGTCAGGTCTATCGGGAAAAATGTTTAGATGCTTTCGAATCAAACAAACCGTTTCCAAAATAAATAAAGAGGGAAGCGTCAAAATTCCGTGATTTTTGAAGTAGGTCTTGCAATGAGTTGTTTGTTTGAGACCAAATAGATAACGGATTGCTCTTTTTTGCAACTTAAAAATAGTATCAAATTGGGCCGCTGTACTAGAACCCCAAAATGGAAGCCCATATCGAAGATGGGACTCGAACAATGAGAAATATTCCATTTTGGCAGAAGATAAATTTAGTTTTATATTAATTAAGTTAGTATTATTTAGTATTAAGTTAGTATTATGCAAAAAAAGCACACCAATATTAAACAACAGAAATGGATCCAAGTAAGCATATATTTTTGACTTTGTTAAAGAAGCCAATGATTCAGATAATTTTAATTTTAATGACGACGATTCGATTAAAAACCCAACTTATGCCCAGATGATACGAATACTGACACCTAAACCGTTACATCTGATACTGCTGAGCAAGTCACTGGTGTAGGGCCTTCCGGTCAAGGTATTATAAAAAATCGAAGAAACGGTGGAATAAATCTGATCCGTCCAATTAGAAGGTGTTTCTGGAAAGTTACGTTCTGAATGCAAAAATTATAATACTTAAAGAGATATACAACCTGCAAAGTTACCAAAGGTTTGCAGATTGCAATTTCGATACTTGTTGGTTTAAATGCACAGGTAATTTTCAAGGGACTACTCGCTTTGAAACCGCCAAAAAATACTGGAAGTTGGTTGGTAACTTTAGATGAAACCACTTGAGAGGAAAATGCCCGGGAATAAGACGCCTGAGAATGTATTACTATTGGTGAAGTAACACAATGAAAGTTTCCCGGCAATGCCCCCACACTACATCAGACAAGCTAGTAAGAAGCTTTATTTGGATAGTAAACTTTAAATTAACAAGATGTACGATTTGTATAAAAGTTTATGCATTGAAAAACTTACAATTTTTCTTTCTTTAAACCGAAAAAATATTAGTGTCTGTTAATGAAGAAAATATAAACACGCCCCACCAGAAAAAAAGGTAGATCTGCAAGCAGAGTGCTGTAAGAAGTAATCAAGTAAGAAAACAAATTGTTATGATGCAAAAGAAGCCTACAAAAAAGAATCAACCGATGACAGCCTTCAGTCCGTTACATTTGACTTACAAAAGTATTGCAACTTCTGTTTGCTGGCTACGAATAAAATGCCTGGAATTTAAAAAAAGTTTGCCAACTACATTTTTTTCAATTATGACCACACTTCGGAATACAAAAGAATTTTTGTTTACGGCCCTGGTCTATAGACCCCATACATGAATGTTGCAAATAGGTAGTGGTATAATAGTCTTCCAACGAACGAAGGTTTGGTAGATCCAGTTCCTGAGTCATTAATATCTTATAGAAAGAGTGAAGAAGTAATTTCGAATTTATTGTTATTTTTTATGAATTTAGATTTTAATTAAGATTAAGACACTGTTGACTTAATCTAAGATATGAACCTACTTTTAAATCTTGTATCATATCGTTGAAATATATCCCTAGACCATCTTAAAAATAAACTTTTGGCAACAATGTACAGATAAGACTGTCCATGGTGTTTCGGTTCTATCACAGATATGTGGTTACATGTTATTCTCTCGTACATACAAGTCTTAATGTCCTATAGTCAGATATTTTTTCCATACCTGTACATATACCTGTACATATATATATATATATATATATATATATATATATATATATATATATATATATATATATATATATTAATAAGATCCCCAAATTTTAAATAAAATTAAAATCACAAGACCATTAACAAAAAATTGAGAACACCCTGTATATAAAAATAGTTTAGTTGTAAAATCATAAGCCATTTACCGGGAAGAACGTGAGTGGTTTCCGAATATGTAAATAAGTGATCTAGAAAGTTTTCTCCGATAAAAAGACAATACGGTTTGGACATGATCAGGTAGATTTAGTACACAACTATTTTAAATTTGCGGTTATAATAGATTAGAAAGTAATAAGTAAGGATTATTGGTTAATGAGTTTTATCCTTTACAAAAGGTAAAAAAAGAATTCAAGGTCACTACTACTGTGCCGTGAATAGTGAACAGTGTAGTAGTGTCTGGGGGCTCGGGAGACTGAGACCTCGGAAGCCCTGAGGAAGGCATCAGAGAGGATGCCGAAAGCTTGGCAAAATGGACATCGACGCGGTTCAACCCGGAAGACTGGTGAGTTTGATATTAATTTTAGTAATAATATTAATCTTAGCTCTAGGTTTTATTGTACTAACCGCGGAAATCTTTCCGAACATATATATATATATATATATATATATATATATATATATATATATATATATATATATATATAAATATGTATATACAGTGTAGGTAAAATTTTATGGTCGGTATGGTAAAACTTAACAGGATATCTAGCACAGATATAAAATCATATTTTCAGCGAATAAACAAAGATAACAATCATATTCCCCCTTGGTCTCCCCTCCATAAATCTTCTTTACGCCCATTTTGCCTGTTAGTGAGACGATTAGTTCCGATCAGAGATATTTTACATATTCTGTGGTTCCGATCCTCATGAAGCTAAGAAACTAGAGGTGGGTCCTTTAGTTTTTTAAATTTTTATCGGAACCGTTTTTCGTAAACTGTAACTAGTTGATTGTTTACCAGTATTCAAATTAGCGAGTATACAAACATATTGGCTATTATCGTTTATGTGTATAAGTATTAAAGTGAAAGAAACTAACGAAGAATATATTTATTATAACTTGAAAAATAAATTAAACAATACAAATAGTACTTACATTTACATGGACTTAAGTCATCTTTATCAGTTTCTTTTTCTTGTACTAGTCAATTTTCAATAGTATAATCTTCTTTTTCTTTTTTTTATAGAAGTAACCAGCTTCAACCATCAACTAGTTGATTTTAACGAATTTAACCGAAAATTTAGAGTTTAACACGGTTTAATTAGACTGCTGCCATTTTTCTGGAAACCATAATTAAGAAAACATCGCTTTTTAAAATTAGTGAAATTATTATTCAGGGGTTCTAAAACAAAAAGTAAATTTTGCAGTAACTGATAATGCCTCAAATATGGTCATAGCTATTAAATATGCTTTGGAATGAAAACATTTAAATTGTTTTGCTCATACGTTAAATTTATTGATGGAGGACGCACTTAAATGCTGTCGTGTACAAATAAATAAAATAAAAAGTCTTTTTTTCGACAATTCGGCAAAAAACACATTTCAAAAAAGTACCTTATCTTCAGAAACGCCTTTAAAGTATCAATTACAACATAACAAAGATCCCAAACGGCCAATCCAAGACGTGGAAACTAGGTAGAACTTCACCTATTACATGTTAGAAAGAATGACGGAGTTAGAAGAGGCAATCCGTTTCACATTGGTATCAGTTAATACAGACTTAGACTTAGACCAAATCTAAATAATGAAGACTGGATTATTTTTTCGTAATTGTCCTAAATTTTACGGCCTTTTAAAGAAATAACAAGTACAATGAGTGGCCAAAAATACTTGAATGATAGTTCAGTGATTGTTCTGGTACGCTGCCTGCAAAAATCTTGCAATAAAATTTTAGCAAACAGTAACCTTACATCCATAGTTAGTATCCGACGTAGTACGGGTTTTTATTACTAATTACGGGATAATTACTAATCTCGGGTTGAGCAAAAAGATTTAGAGGGATAGAATACAGTGGCATATTGTCATTATGTACGTTTATGGATTCACGATTTAAAGTGCAGGGATTTTCTGATAAAAATGACGCTAAAAAAACAAAAGAAAGAGTTAAGAAGCTGGTTACTTCTATAATTAAAGAACAAGAAGATTGTACTATTGAAAATCAACCAGTATAAGAAAAAGAAACCGATAAAGATGACTTAAGTCCATGGTGTATTTTTGATCAATTAATTGACATGACTCATCTAAACGTACACCTGTAGCGAGAGTCCATTACAATGGTGAAAAAACCATCGCCATGTATCTCCTAACTTAACCACTATATTCATAAAGTATTGTAAATGTGAACACATGTTCAAAATCAGGTTTAATTTTAAATAAAAGAAAAACACAATTAATAAGAAGTAAAGTAAAAAAACTTATGTTTTTAAATGTCAATTTAGACGATTCGTGATTTAATAATAACGTGTAATGTAAACGTAGGTACGATTTACTATTTGTATTGTTTAGTTTAGTTTTCAAGTTATAATAAAATCTTTTATTAGTTTCCTTCACTTCAATAAATATACAGATAAACGATAATAGCCATTATGTTTGTTTATGTAGGTAGTTTCTTACTTGAAACTACTATTAAAAAATCATAGTTACTTGTTTACGAAAATCGGTTTTGCGACGTCAATGACCCACCTCTATTCGTAAATACCTGTTTACCCTTTGATTCGGTGATTTGACCACGCGACACGCCACGTTGGCAAATAGTTTTGTACGAAGCTTTTTTATTTATATGCAGTTTAATATTTTTATTGGAAATAAGGCATAATGTCACTTTAAAATAAGCTTATTTTGATGTTTAGATTTTTAATTCGGAAATCGTTTTTAAAATACCAAACATTAATAAATTTTATTTATATAAAACGATTTCCGAAGTATAAATCAAAATGTTATATTACACTTATTGTAAAGTAAAATTGTGGCATATTCCCAATAAAAAACAATAAGCTGCCATTTAAATCCATTTCACCCAAATTTCATTATCTTGGAGCATTGTTCAAATGCGATAAAGACAACAGGTCAAATAAAACCAATAAGTTTGGCAACGTTGAATTTCCCCTTTTTATTATATCCACTCCATATCCACTCATTTATGTTCGGTGATATAAAAGGCGGACACCTAATATATCTCTCTCTTTTTAAACAGTTGTTTCTCACTCCATCTCATGTAAGGTCCATACCGACCATAAACTTTTACCTATACTGTATATATATATATATATATATATATATATATATTTTTCTTACCTTGCTACTTTTCTGGTCAATGCTCAGTGATTATTGCACACTTAGTCATTCCAAGAATTTTAGGATATATTATTTCTTAATATATCTTTAATAATAGCATATACGAGTATAGCAGCTATTATTGTTTACACCTTTAGGCAACTGTCTACTTATTGCCATACATATTCAATAAGAACATAGTCACCATTTTATTGTTTAAGAAATGGTTTGTAGCATTTTTACTTTTCTCTTGTGGTCTTCAAATCCTCTTACCTACTTTTACATCCAAAGTTTGGTTGGTGTTTTTTGATAAAACATTCCAAAGATCCTTCATTTCAGCATTCTGGTATTTATAGGAAATAAGATAGTCGTTAAGGCCATTTTCTAAATTTTCTTTGTGTAAAAAATTTGCCAACATGTACAAAACGGCAGTACCCTAGAAATAACATGTATTCGATCAAATTAATAAAAATATTGTGTTTAATAAAACTGTTTTGAAATGTAAATCGGCTTATATTGATCGGTTTATGTCTGCTATCCGCTGAAAATGTTTGTAGAACAATGTGCAGTGTTTTTTAAGTGTACTTTGGTTTTTATCATCTCTTTTCATTTACTAATACAGTATATCTAAGTGTAACTGAAATAGCCGAAAGAAGAAATGGTGTGAAAGCAAAAGAGTTTACTCACCTTATTTAGAGAAATAGTATCAAAAATAGCATCAATTTCAGACGGATCGGTCACATTTGCAGAAATAGGATGACTACATGCTAGTGCATCTAACGCTAGGGCAGGTTGGGTTTTATCTATAATAAATTGTTCCATCATTCTCCATTCCGGAATATACTGATCTACACCTTGATATTCAAATAATGTCGTGAAACCTTCATTTAACCAATAATCGTTCCACCATTTCATTGTCACCAAGTTCCCAAACCACTAAAAAAGATTTTAGATAGAATACATTCTAGACTACAAGCACATAAGACTTTTTAGGGGGTCATTTGACCGAGAATGAATCACATATAAATCAATACTACAATATGTAATAACAACTTTAGACACTATGCTGCCAATTCTTACCCGTACTCAAAGCGAGGGGGCTCAAATTAAGCGTTGCCCCTTAGATTTCTCATTCATGTCTTAGCCAAAATCTACGGTGTAGCAAAGAATAATCATGATACCGATCTGAAACTTTGTGTATAAATACCGTACTATGTCAAATTACCGAAAATGGGGAAAAAGTTTTCCGAAAAAAAATTTGTACGGCATTAGATCGCAGGTCAATATTTTTGTATTACCTTTTAAGTTATAAATGCCGTACAAACATGTTTGGCCAAAAAGTTCCTCCCCCTTGCGTGGTAAGTTTATCTTACCTGTGACTCACCTGTACCGACAAGAATGGACTGCCGGGCCGGAGTGATGACATAGATTTTATCGACATCTGTCAGTTTCACTTTCTATTCCAAACAAATCTTGTTTTTAGTGTGGATAATTTGTATTTTTCGTTATTTTTTCATTTTTTTACAGAATCTTTTCGCTTTTTTGCAATATCTAAGTATTCTAATAGTTACTACAACAATTTTACAAGGTTGTGTAAAAAGTAACGCATGTTGTTTTATAAAAATAGCAATAAAATGCATGTATCAAAAAAGTAAGGTTAGAATTTCTTTAATTTAAACTTTTAAACTATATTTTAGAGAAATAGAATATTGAATTATGATGGTATCATCGTAAAAAACACTATATTTAAAAGAAAGAGCAGCAGAGGAAAAAAATGTTAACTTAATAGAAATTAAAAAGTCTTGAGATTAGGCATTTCAACTTTTGTTTGGAAAGTAATAGTACTAACAATATGGCTGCCGTAACGTCACACTCCGGCTGTCCATTAACGGGCATAGCTTCTAAAGTTGTTATTACATATTGTAGTATTATTTTATATTTAATTCATGCTGGGTCATATGGCTCATTAAAAATCTCCAATGGGCTATTCTACACTACTGAGGTAATGTCTTTAAAATTAATAGCTGACGGACTTTTTAATCATGAAATAGAAGGGGATTTTTTGGTAGATCGTTTATAATGGTACATTGGTTTTGAGGTTTTAGAGACAATTGTCTGAAGTTATTTCTTCCTGTCGTTGACTGTAAGCTGTAACAGTCTTTTGCCTTATCAATCATGAGACATTTGATGATATAAAGATACTGATATCTGATATCCTTGAAAAAATTAACTTTAGTATTTTGCATATTTTGTTTATTACATATTGTTATCATCAAATTTACCAAAAGTAGTTATTAGATACCAGTATCAACGAATGTCACGGAAAAATCCATATTTCTCTGGTCTAATTTGGAAAGAATATTATCCACCGCCTGTCTGACGACGGGCGAAATAGTATATACACAGAATGAGAAGACCTGGGGAACGCTACACATTGTAGGGACTGTAAAGTATGGTAGCGGCTCAGTTATGGTGTGGGGTGGGATTCATTTGGAAGCGTGGGGTGTTAGTTTGAATATATACACTCACCGGCACGAAAAACGGAGCACTTGCATTTTTAAAATAAAAACTTAAAATTTTAATTCTTTTTAAACGTTTATTATAATAACAACGTAAACACAAACTAAATAAACTATTTAAAGTAATTTATAATAAAAATTTAACTTCTAACAAAGAACTGTTTCAGTAGATAAAAATTTAAGAGTTAAGGAAAAAGCGTAAGTGAATGTTGTAACAAAATGAGACTGAATTAATGAAAACTTAAATCATGTGCCGGACAAACTGATTTTCATAGTGAATGTTTCCTCCCTGTGCTCGAATTATTGCCTAAATTCTTTTTAGCATGCCTAAAATTAAATGAGAAATGTACTGTTGGGGAATAAGTTCCCATTCCTCTAAAATGTAAATGATTTAAGGTTAAAGGGGCAGAAACACGACTTCGTATCCTTTGCCCAAGCATGTCTTAAACATGTTCGATTGAGTTTGCGTCTGGACTCAATGCTGGTCAATCTACTACAGGAATGTTTACTTCATTTAAAAACATGTACAATTCTGTACGTGCCTCTAGAGAAATTCAGGCTCACACCATAATTGAGCCCGCTAGGATATCCTTCCCTAGGACTGAAGCTGCATCCTGCAAAACGCTCATGTGGTCTTCGTCATAGTCTCTTACGGCCATCTGGAGACTGCAAGGTAAACCTGTACTCATTCATCGGTAAATAAAACTGTCACTACTACAGCGCAGTGATTAGTGAACAGTGTAGTAGTGTCTGGGGACTCGGGAGACTGAGACCTCGGAAGCCCTGAGGAAGGGATCAGGGAGGATGCCGAGAGCTCGGCAAAATGGATATCGACACGGTTCAACCCGGCAGACTGGTGAGTTTGATATTAATTTCAGTGATAACATTAATCTTAGCTCCAAGTTTCATTGTACTAATCGCGGAAATCTTTCCGAACATATATATATATATATATATATATATATATATATATATATATATATATATATATATATATATATATATATACAAAACATATACATAGGGTAGGTGGGGGTAAAAGTCCGCATGGGGTAAGAATCCGCACACGCTTTCTAGATCACAGAGCGAATAGATTAACTTGACTCACACTTGGATCGGCCAGTAGGTACTTTTCGAACAGCGCTGCAGATTATACACGTGCTTCGTGCGCCGGTAGTTAACGAAAATATGAGGTAAGTTTTAAATTTTGGTGTTCTAATCTAATGTTTTTAATCATTCTTTTGAAGATTGTATGTGTTAAACTATTTTTCTAAAAAGTCTTTTAACTAATTTATGTAATCCGGTTTATTGTAAATAATGTTTAGAAACAAAATCTTTAATTTGAGGTTAGGTTGTTCCAAACTTGCGTAGCTAAAATTAATAGTGAATTTTGGGGTATTAGTCCGCATGCCGGAAGGGGCAAAGATCTGCATGCGGATTTTTACCTCATTAAGCACGTTTTTGTTTATTATCTAGAATTTTACTTCAAAGTTTGTATAAATTACGTTTTTTTTTTTGTTTGTAAAAATTACGTTTTTGTTTTAGGACGTACAAGAGAAAAAATGAGAACCTGAGACCATTTACGGAGGATGTTTTTATGCAGGCTAAACATTTAAAGGAAACAGGTCTATCAACACGAGAAATAGGTAGAACTCTTGGCTATGATGAATCTACCATTCGAAAAAGGCTAAAAGCGGACAGCAGCGTTAATTTCTTGGGTAGATTTCGACCTGTATTTACTCCAGAGCAGGAACAGCAAATAGTGGACCATTGTAAAGCTTTAGACTTACGTTTATATGGGCTTACCCTAAAATCGCCTCGTTTTCTGGCATATCAGTTTGCAGAAAGAAATGGTATCCAGCATCAATTTTCTAAGCAATCAAAACTAGCAGGTAGAGATTGGACTAGAAATTTTATGAAACGAATCCGCCTTTCACTACGTACACCACGAAAAACCAGTGTAGCTAGGACCATGGGGTTCAACAAACATCAATTGACACAGTATTTTCAAAATTTAAAATCTGTCTTGGAGAAATATAAATTTCCAGCGAATAAAATCTACAACATGGATGAGAGTGGTCTACAAACAGTACCAAATAAATTACCTAAACATGTTGCTCCCACTGGAAAAAAAAAGTAACAAAAAATGTAGCTGCAGAGCAAGGAAGAACTGTGACAGCTGCATGTTCTATGAGTGCAACAGGACACTATGTTCCACCATTCTTTATTTTCGCACGCAAAAGACTAAATCCTCTTTTGATAAAGGACGCTCCAACTGGTTCTGTCTTGGCTGTAACTGATTCTGGATACATGAATTCAGTTAAGTTTCTTCAATTTTTGGAGCACTTTCGCAAATATACAAATCCTACCGCTGAAAGCCCAGTGCTATTAATTTTGGATAACCACATATCCCATATCACTTTAGAAGCTATCACTTACGCAAAAAATAATAACATCCATTTGCTCAGCCTCCCACCTCATAGCAGCCATCGAACTCAACCACTGGACAGAAACTTTTTTAGGCCATTAAAAGCTTACTATGATGATTTGTGTGATAATTGGACCACATCTAATCCCGGGCAAGTAGTCACTGAATACTACGTCGCTGGATTATTCAAGCAGGCCTATGAGAAAACTGCTACTATAGAAAAAGCTGTTAATGGATTTAAAATGGCAGGTATTTTCCCTTTAGATGAAAATATCTTTACTGAGGAAGATTTTTTACTTTCTTCAGTAACTGAACAAGAGCAAGAAGAAGTAGATGATCTTGACCGAAATAATAAAGATACACAATTAAGGATTGTATTTGACGAAGACAAAAGTCAGGAAAATGATAAAGCAGAAGAACAAAGTGGTGAAGCAGAAGAACGAAATATTGAAAATCTACCAGATAGAGCTAGCATTTTAAGTAACTTGGAATCAAAACCTGGAAGCTCGAAAAATGAAATGTCTACTACGTTACCGTCAGATATCATTCCGTTGCCAAAACTAACCAAAAAGAGAAAACGAACAAGAAAAGGATTGAAATCTACACTTGTGACATCTACTCCACATAAAGATCAAATGGAAATCTCAGAGCTGGAGAAGAAAAACAAAATAAACGAGAAAAAAAGGAAGGAAAGCATTAAGGAAAATAAAAATATAGTAAGAAAAGTATTTGAAGAAAAACAAAATATACTAAATAAAAAGGAATATGAATATTCTTCTGACTCGGACGCGCAAATATCACTTCATTATAGTAGCAGAAATTTAAGTTTTTCTGAAAGTGATGTTGAAAATGAATTATCCGAATTAAGTCCAGGAGAGTTTGCTATAGTAAAAGTTTACGGCAAAACCAAGGACTCATTTCGAATGTACGTTATGCGAATTACTGTAATGGTAGATGATGGTTACCTTGGTATTTATTATAGAAGGGCACCCAATAAAATGCGTTTTTCAGAAACTGACGAAGAGTTTTTTGTTAACAAGATAGACATTATAAGGAAACTTTCCAAGCCATTGCTAGGCAGTTCTGCTACATTTAAGGACTTGTGAGCTTTTCAACCGATTTAAGTGATTTAATGTTGCACTAGTTATAACCTAAAAATTGTTTCACCTTTCAAAAATTTCTTTTATTTTTTATCTTTTTACGTTTAGGTCATATATCTACTTGTTTGTATTTTTATAAGTTTTTAGATAATGTTTGTTGACAAAATAAAGATTTGTATTTGATACATTGTTAATTTTTATTTTTATAAAATTATTTTTATTCAAAGGGGGCAAAGATTAAATAATCTCAACGACTAGTAAGTTGCACTGACATTTTGTGATATATTGTAAATATTTACACATTTTTCTAATTACAGTGTCTTGAAAAAGGAATTAAACAATTCTGAAAGCTAGACCAAAAGTCAAAAGAGTGTTTCTTTAACATCCCGGCCAAACTTCTGATTGCAGCCCTAATAAACTTTGTTTTGTTTATATCGACAGTCACTAATATCCAGTAAGTCTATATATATATATATATATATATATATATATATATATATATATATATATATATACATTTATAAAATTTTTCAGTTTTTGTCCTCTAGGGAAAAAAAGTAGTTACCATCGGTTCTACCTTGATACTTCAAAATTAAATCCCTATATTAATTTCAACGAGAACTTTAGCAATCTTCATACATCACACTTCGATGTAAAATCCTTTCCAAAAGGAACCACATGGTGAGTTAAACAAATTCATATCACATTATAATTGAGGCTATGAGAGCAAGAGTGGGCTAACCAACATTTTGTTGATAATTGAGTTATAGATTGCAATCACTTCTAACGACCTAAAGTTTTAAAGCAAAACGGGTCTAACCAACATTTCCGTATATTATAAAATAAATCTCTCCAGTATTTGCATTATAGAAAATAACAAAAATTTGAAAACACGAATGGGCCAACCCACGAAGTTGTGGAATAGACCAAAATTGTTCAATACATAAATACGTAAAAGAATGCCAGAGAGGGGTAACCGTTCTCTTTGTACGATAGACCGGTTTTTAGGAATCCTTTACAACGTTTACAAAGGAGAACATACTAGTAATCCTGTCTCATTCCACATATTTCAAAAAATATTTAATACCCAATTTAATATTGGATTCCATGCACCAATTACGGATCTTTTAATCGGGTGTAAAACAAGTTAAGTGTTTTTTGGTTGTAAGTAGATATTTTTATATTGAATTCACCAGATAAACTAATGAGTGATCTAGATAGATTTTGTATAAAGGGTTTATTTACCATATCTCGTATGAGTATCAACTAGAGTAACATTCTGATTTGCATCTTTGTTTACAACAGGATTAGAGAATAACAATTTGTTAAGCAGTTTTTTTTGGATATTGGTTAGATAACAATACTTATATCATATAAAATTTTAATGTTTTTGTTAACAAATTTAGGATGGCAAATCTTAGTAATTCTATTTATCATTGTTAGAACAACATTAATTTTCTGTTTTTCGGGATGATGAATTCAATATAAAAATATTTACTTACAACCAAAAAACACTTAACTTGTTTACACCCGATTAAAAGATCCTAGTCCTACCTTACAACGTTCCAACGTAATATATGGCATCCCATGTGAATGTGGCTTAGTTTATATTGGTCAGACTGGCCAAAGGTTAAGTAAAAGATTGGCCCTAAATAAAAGTGATTGCATACTCAAACCACAATCTACAAGTCTTAGTATTCACGTCGATAGCAAAGACCACAGAGTCCTCTATAATGACACATTTATCTTAGATGTATCTAATAGAGATTTTCAGCGAAAATTACTTGAGATGTGTTATATTTATAATGCGAAAAATGCCATCAATCGCAAGAAGGATGTGGATAATTTAAGTTCAATCTACACCTTCCTGCTTCCTGCTACACCAAAAAAATTGTCGCCTAGATATATGAGTGATATAGGATAGATTTTTAACTATTTTAATTTAAAACTATAAAAAAAATACTATATCTCCATCATTATTATAAAAACATTCCTCATCTGTATTATTTTATTATATTTTCCATCAACTCGTTGAATGCCAATTTTAATTATTTTATTTTTTATATTTTATATTTGTTTCAGTATTCGTGTTAACATTTTAGATTATATATGTCATTTTTACATTTCAAATTATCCCGCTATTTCAAACAAGTTTAGTGACACCGCCGTAAATTGTTAATTCCCTTTAGATTGTTTTAAACTACGTGTAAATTTTTCAGTTGTTTGTGGTTAGATTTAAAGTAAATAGATCATTATTAATTAAATAAAAAACACATTGTGAACTATGGATACCACTTCTTAAGTATCTGAAACTATGTTTAATATATACATAGATAATACTTTCTTTGTGTTCCACCCAAGTCACTGAGTTGCTTGCTATAATTTGGGTAAGTGTTTTATAAATTTGTATACTTAGTTTCCACTTGTTCATTGTTTGTTCTCTCGTTTGTTTGTAGTTTACTCTGATGATGTCAATAATCATTGACGAAAGCTTAGACCTTTAATTAAAAAGCACATCTAACGAAGCACCCTAGTTTTATTTTGCTTCCTCATTTATAAAAGGGTATCTCCCAGTATTATCTCCCTTTCACTACATATTACTCGTACTTATATATTAACACTAAAGCTACTAAAATCTTTAACTCCATTCTTCTCATATCTTTTGCGAGCTTTTACTTTCATTTATTTATCGGTCTTCTTTTTCTCTTTTTTGATGGGTCTTTTTGGAGTTGTCATGTACGGCATTCTTTCTACGTGACGTCATCTAAATTTCTGCGGCTGTATAACCTCACAAACATTACTCGTCATAAAATTTAACTGTATATCCAAAATGTCAAGTCATAATTTTCTATATCTTAGATTTTAGATTCCAGTATAAAGAAGATTTAAATTATTTTCTAAAAGAAGAGAAAGGAGAAAAGACATGTCTTCTATTTATAGCTAATATTATTGTTAACAAGTTAATACTAAAAATTAAATAGGTAAAATTAAATCAAAGTAACATTTTAACACAAAAGAGCAAACCTGGTGTGCTAGTTCATGTGCAATTTTACTAATCAACCACTGGTGAGCAGCAATAAAAGTGTCGTTATCATTAGTGTTTGAAAAAATAGCAGTCTCTCTGTAGGTAATTAGTCCCCAATTCTCCATTGCCCCGTAGTCGAACTCAGGAAGTGCTACAATATCTGAAATAGAATAATTATTTCAATTTAGAGTACTTTCTTTGGACTAAATCTAAATTTTTAGACCTAAAATATACAGTTAATGCGCAAGATCTAGGTGTGAGTTAAATAAATTTGTCCTCAGTGAAGAAATTTAGTCCTATTCTCCAATTTTGCTAGCGAGTCACTACCTAAAAAATTAAACTCGTAAGTACTTGCATTCATTTACTATTACAGGCCCTTGCCTACCATCGAACATCAGGACAGGGTTAAATGACCTACGAATCTCTAGAATCTATGCGTTAAGGCTGTTTTATCGGTACACCAAAACCTAGATATAGTGTTTTTTCTGTTATTTACCGACAAAATGTCTCGAAATTTGGACACGTTATTCAAAATTATGTTGCCTTTAAACTGATGGTTTTACTTTTTTTAATTTTTTTGAAAGTTCTTTTGTGATATCGGATTATGCAGTTTAACGTTCTATTATAACCAAACTTTTTACGCCCATCACTTGAAAGAGTTTTTTTTTCTGTAATCGTTGATTTTTTGTTCACCTTTTTATGTCCAGTAATAATCGAGAAAAGCGTGTTCAAACTTTGAAGAAAATTGCTAAAAAATACTGAAATCTAATAGTGAAACGTGTTACTCATCATTGGCATTTAGTTTCACCGTTATCGGCTGCGTGACGTCAAATCTTATGAACGTACAGTCAGTTAGTTTGATTTGAAATCATTTTCAAGATATAACTGCTAATTTGTTTATTTGTTTGTGACAACAAATTGTATTTTTTTTTATAATAATATTTTTATGCTATTTTAAATTTATTATAAATAAACACCATGATGTTTTTTGCAGTCACGTTTCACAAATTTTTATTCAGTACTATATTTAGCTAAGACATATAAATTAAAAATGTGTTAATTATTTTTAAAATATCTACGATAATCAAACAACAAAGGTATTCCCGACAAAAGTAATTTGAATGGAGAATAATGCATTTGTTGTCATTAAACCACCCGCCGGCCGGCGCCACTCCGAAAACAGCTGTACCCGTCGTCGGCTGGCGTAAGCAGTGTAGAAAAGTAAGTGATACGCCCATTTCAAATCGCAGTGTGCTTTGACTGCTAAAACAGCCTAGCTAAAACAGCTTTAAAGGAACTGTTCATCGATGCTGCTAGGTTGGGATCAGAGAACTACGAACGTTCTCTGGTTGGGATGGAGTATTCTGTGCTACTAGATTTTACGATGCTGACGTCACGTCCAGTCGGTATGTTTGTGGAACAATTCGAAGCGAGATCAGGATCGAGACATTTCAAGAGGCATTGGCGTACAATATTATAAAGCAGCAATTCAAATTGTAAGAGGCAGTCTCAGATGTAAATTTGTCGTGTCAAATAATAAATATAGGTGTATTATAAATAAGGGGTGTATTTCAGTGCTACTGTTAAAAGACTACATAAAAAAAAAAATAAATAACAGATCACTATTAACTCGCGATTTCTTTTGATAATTTTTACTGTAAAACATAATACTTTATAACCTTTTTGTAGTTGTTACTCTAATAATATCGTTTTTTGATTAAATGTAGATTATATGAAAAGTATATGTGCTGTAGTTATTCCCATAATAAATTTGGTGTTTAGAGCACCAAACATAATGTTATTATGCATGAAAACAAAAAGAAAATTTCTGCTCTTGGGAAATAAAATATCATGTTTTTAAGGTGTTACTAAACTTACCTAGTTTTGGAAGAGGAAAAGCTACTCCAAAAAAGTTCTCATAATAATCGAGGAAGAAAGATGTCGTTTCCAGCGTAAATGGAGCTCTGGAAACAAAAGGTTCAGGGGTGTATATGGAGACAGACACACCGCTTTCAGTTTGTTTATTTCGTTGACTGAAGTCACATATCACAAATGCTACTAAATAGGTACTGATTTCGTTCGTTTCCAAAAACTCATCGTAAAGCTAAAAAAATATGATAGGTACAATATTATTTAAAACACATCAAAAACCAATATGTTGTAGTTTATCTTTAAGAAAGTGAACCAATACAAATTATTTTCATTATTTAAATAATTCTTCAACCCTTTTGTAAAATTTTTTTATATGCTATCTAATTATTTGTTTTTGTAATTATTGTAAGCCGTTCCTTTGCATTTGGTGATAAAATTCCAGCGTATAAACTCGTTCTGGGACAATGTCTCCGAATAGAGTATACTTCAATGAGAAATATCGCATAATCGATTTGTTGAATAGGTGTTTAAGTTGTTTTTCTATATTATTAGATATTAAAAATGTGCTCAATTGTGTATTCTGCTTTGATGTGATCGAAACAACATAAAATGTTGCCTGTGTGACTGCCACGCGGTGCTAAATATTAAATCAATCCAGATTATGGTTGTATTGGGACCTAGATTTAATACTAGCGAGAATTGAGAAGGCAGGACTGAGCCTGGAAATGCCCAATATCGGTGGACTCAAGTCCGAAAGAACAAGGGTTCTACACAATCGGTCGTCTTCTACTCGTCACCAGTCTGGAGTGCGGCGGTGGAAACACCGGTGTACAAGAGGCTCTTGGTATGCAAGGACAAGTAAGAGCCGGAGCTAGACTTAGTGCTAGCGAGAATTGAGGAGATAGAACTAGGCTCGTAGAAGTAGAGACGTCGATAACAAAGGGGTATATGCGAGAGTGAACGAGTGATCGATAGAGTAACAGCAGCGGGCATGCCCGAGTGATAGAGATATGGCCAAGATTATATGGGAGTGAATGCGAAGGTGAAGCCTAAGTAGCCAGAGGTAGATGCGGTAGTCGCATGAGTGAGAGATACGGATGCTGACCAGTGATGACGAGTGTCTGAGAATCTGGCGAAAGAAGGCCATCAGGCATGAAGTTATGTTGTAACGGGCGGCTCCACATGATGTCCTCGTACGAACGGGGTGGGGTTTAGCTGATCTCGGCAGCATCGGAGCTACGGAGGGCAGGGAGGTGCGACTCAGGGTCGACCAAGCTGATCGACCGTGATTCTTAGAAACTCGGCACTGCCAGTAACGTTTATTTTCGGCGTCTGTTTGCCGAAAAAAATACTATAGATATTTAACTGTTATTAGTATTATATTAGTAAATATTGATTATTTTTGAATGAAACTTTCTTTGAAGTTGTAATTTGAAAATGTAAGTGTTATAATTTAAGTTAGATGAAGTTTGAAGACATCTAAAGACAAGGCAATATGTACTTTATTTCTTTTTTCCTACAGAACAATACAAAAATTGACTGACAGTAGTTTATATATTTTTGACATTACATTAAACTATCAACAATGTCACTTCGTATAGAACCACAACATCCACTTTTTATGTTGGATATTCTAACACTCTCCCTCAACATGAAAAGTAGATAAGCTAAATAATAGACCTTAACAAAATAAACATTATTTTAAATTCAAATTCTGAGAGATGAACTGCAATTTCTTTGAATTTAATGACTTGGTCAACATATCAGCCACTATTTCATTCGTCGGCATATATTTTAATTGAATATCATTGTTAGTTACTTTTTCACGAATAAAATGATACTTGACATGAATATGTTTCGTTCTCTTATGGTATACTTGATTTGCCGATAACTTTATGGCACTTTGATTATCATTAAATATAACCATCGGAAAACCTTCAAACAAAAATTTACAATTCACATTGTTTTCAAATATTTCTTTATATAAATATGTTAAGTATAACGATTCTTTTGCTGCCTCAGTTATGCCAATATATTCAGCTTCAGTTGAACTTAAATCTAAAGTTCTTTGCTTTTGACATTCCCATGAGATAGGACCACCAGTCAACGAAAAAATAAATCCATAAAATGACTTTCTATCTGAAGTGTTATTGGCCCAATCTGAGTCAACAAAACCACTTAAACTAACATTTGACTTTCTGTAATTAATTCCTACAGTTCTTGTACCTTTTAGGTATCTCAAAACACGTTTGGCTGCTAACCAATGTTCTTTTGTATGAATCTTATTAAATTGGCTAAGATAAGTGACAGAGAACGCTATGTCAGGCCTTGAACAAACTGCTAAATACATCATCGAACCAATCAATTCTTGATAAGGACATTCATACAAAGTTCCTTCATAAGAAAGTTTAACATTCGGTTCTAAAGGAGTATTTACAATGCTACAATTAGTCATTTCAAATTGTTCAAGTATTTTATCAATATACTGTTCTTGACTTAATTTCAATTCAAACTCTGACCTACTTCTCTCTATCTTCATACCCAAACAATGTGTAATTGGACCCAAATCCTTAATATGAAAGTTTTTATCTAATTCATTTTTCAACATTTTAACCTCATTATGATTATTGTAAAAAACAAAGAAATCATCTAAATAGAGTGCTACAATAAGGATTGAAGTCTCACTATTTTTGACTAAAATACATGGTTCAATTTCACATTGTTTAAAATTCAAATTTAACAAAATTTGGTATGCCCTTTTATACCACAATCTCGAAGACTGTTTAAAACCATATATAGCTCTCCTGAGCAGACAGACTTTATTTTCCTAGTCTGGTTCATCAAAACCTTCAGGTTGAGCCATATATATGGTTTCATCAATCTCACCATTCAGGAATGCAGTCTCCACATCTAAATGAACTGTATCTAGATTTAATTCAACAGCCATCGCTAACAAAAGCCTAAAATTACTAAAACGAATGACTGGAGAATACGTTTCTGAATAGTCAACCCCATATTTATGTGTAAAACCCTTTGCCACCAATCTTGCCTTGTACCTTACTATTTCCCCCTTTTCATTTTTCTTTATTTTAAACACCATTTATTCTGAACAATATTTGTATTTGGAGATTTATCAACCAATTTCCAAGTATTATTCATTCTGAGAGATGTCAATTCATTTTGAATGGCTAATTTCCATTCATGGCTGTGACTACTTGACAGTTCCTCAGAAAGACTTGTAGGCTCAAATTCATTTGACATAGTAAACATGGCAAGATCAGGTACATTTTCCAGATCTTTATCTAACAAACAATCATTATACAATTTTGGTATATTTCTAACACGTGTAGGGTACCACTTAGATTTTTGAACACTATCACTATTTCTTTCTTCTCTATTCACTTCTTTATTTTCACTCGCACTTTCTTCTACACTTTTTATATTCTCAGATTCCACAATTTCACCGAAACCACTTTTCACTTCTTCAGAGTTTTCATTCACATTAAAACATTCCGACTGATGTTGGTTCACTGATTTGGCTTTAACTTCAACAATTCGCAAGTTGCATATAACCTCAGGTTTAAACCGTACGTCGTGGCTCGATACGATTCTTCTTTCAGATGGAATCCATATCCTAAAACCATCCCTGTCATTCATATAACCAACTAAATAACCATGTATCGCTTTGTCATCAAATTTACTGCGAAGATTCTTGTTAACGTGAACATAACATTCAGTGCCAAATATTCTTAAATGTTTCAAACTTCCAATTGGCTTTCCATACCACAGTTCATAGGGACTTTTACTTTCAATTGATGACTTTCCTGTGCGATTCAGAATGTACACTGCAGTATTGCATGCTTCTTCCCACAATTGTTTGGACAACTTACATGTGTTTAACATGGAACGTGCACACTCTACAATGGTGCGGTTTTCCCTTTCAGCAACACCATTCTGCTGAGGTGTAAAGGGTGGAGTGATACAATGCTCTATACCTCTCTTCGCAAGAAGTTCAGATACCTTTCTATTGTCAAACTCTCTCCCTCCATCGCATCTCAGTTGCTTTACTACATAGCCATTTGTACTAGCTTCATTTAAAAATTGTTCTAAGAAAGTACATACCTCACTTTTGTGTTTCATAAAGAAAACTTTCCGAAACTGACCAAAGTCATTTTTAAAACATACGTAATAACGTGCCTTTCCCAGCGATTCTATAGACATGGGCCCATTTACATCTGCATGGATCTGCTCACCAGTGACTTGAGGTCGATTGATCCTAGATTTGAATAGAAATCTATGCATTTTTCCAATTGCACATCCATCGCAAAAGCTTTCTTTGCACCCATCAATGTCTATATTCATTTTCTTCAATACCTTCTTTACATGTTGCTTATGCTGATGACCAAATCTTTCATGGTACACTTGCAACATATCTCTTGACTCTGTTAAGTTGACTTGAACGAGATTTGTCGGTTTCATAACATGTATATCAAGTGCATACAGGCCATTACAGAAGTACCCAGTCATTATAGATTCATAAGTGTTTTTATCATATATATTTACACCTTTTTATCAAGTACTGTAATAAAACCCCTTTGTGCAGCAGCTTTCACAGAAAATAAATGAGCACTTGCTTCAGGAACATACAAAACCTTCTTCAAGTCAGCACCTTTCCATTTATTATTCAGATGCGTTTGAATTTTCACTGTTCCTTGTCCATGGGCTAACATACATACATCCTTCTTACCAAGTGATATACTTTCTGGTTCAGCAAATTCTGTATAAGATGAGAAATATTGCTTATCTGTAGTGATATGATTTGTGGCTCCACTGTCACAAAAAAGACAAAAAAGCAGTATCATTACTTTTATTCTTACCTAAATTCTCAGCTGATTTTTTCAACGAACACTCTTTCGTCCAATGGCCTAATTTCTTGCATTTATTACATGGATATTTTTCTTTTGCACGATGTACATTTTTCTTTGACTTCATACTTTGGTTCTGATTGTATTTTCCTGTCGGGCTATTGCATGCAACAAACGCAAAAGATTCTACAGTACTTTGGTCACGTAATTCAATGGTACACAATTTCTCAATCAGCAAATTCAAAGTTTGATTCTTTGATGGTATCGTGTCCCACAAATCTTTGAAATTATCAAAGTGCTTACCCAAAGTTGATAAGATCCGACCATTTAACATTCTTTTGGATAAAACATTTTCATCATGCTTCTGCAGTTCATCATTCAAATCTACAAATAGTTTCTGCAACTTCGCAACATGTGTACTAATATCTTCTTTTTCATCACGTTGGACTTTAAAAAAGGCTTCAATTAACATGTTTAACCGTTGCGTACTGCTACGTTCAAATCTCGAACGCAATTTGTCCCATATTTCACTAGCTTGAGTACACGTCAACACGAGCTCGGCAACAGTTTTTCCTAGCGTACCTGCTAACAAACTTGCCACTTTCGCATTGTCTTTTAACCATTGCTGATGCTTCTGTATTTCCACTGAAGTTAAATCTTCACTAACCTCAGGACATTTACACATACCGTTTACAATGTCTTCAAATGCATACGAACGTAATAACATCGAAACGTGCCATTTCCACTTTGCCCAGTCTTCAGGACCCTCGAGTTTGTCAACTTGAATTTTATAATCGTTATTGCTGGTCGCCATATTTTATTCACCGACAATAACAACAAACAAAACTGAATGAAGTACGAATCTAACTTGTTCACAGTTCACACGTCTAAAACCTGTTATAATTTAAGTTAGGTGAAGTTTGAAGACATCCAAAGACAATAAAGTACATACAATATGTACTTTATTTCTTTTTTCCTACAGAACAATACAAAAATTAACTGACAGTAGTTTATATATTTTTGGCATTACATTAAACTATCAACAATGTCACTTCGTATAGAACCACTACAACATCCACTTTTTATGTTGGATATTCTAACAGTAAGTTTTTAGTGTTGTATGCAAATAATATCGGCCTGCTCCATAAAAATTGTAATACTTACCAACCCAGTGCCCATGTAAAATCCTAAAACATCGGTTTTTACTACGGGAGTATTAAAAAGGCTGATATGAAATCTGTCTCTAAAAACAGTTAACCTGAATTTTGCTTTAAATTGGGGTTCATCGAAACAGGGAAAGGCAGTTCTAGCAAAAGTTGGTTCAAAGTGTGTTGTAGCCAAATACCTAAAAAAATATTTAGTTTTAGTTTCACTCTTATAACTGGTATACCACCTAGGTACTTTTTTCGAAAATTAATTATATTCAGAACGTGACTAATTGAATCGTAGCCAAAAATATTTACATATACTAGGATAATTAAGGTGCACACTTTATGATTTTGAAGATTACAGATCCAAAATCAGTTAAAAAATTTAGAAAACCTTACCCTCCTGTATAGCCGAACTTCCTTATTCATGTTTAGTGCACATATTTAAAATTTTGCATATTTCTCTGACAGTTTTGTGCATTCATTTCATATCCTTCATGTGCGTTGTTTTCTATTTTCACTCTCAAATAGGTAAGCACTTCTACTATTTACGTTTACTTCTAAGTAAACTAAAGAGATTGCACATCTCAAAGGGGCCGTTTAGCATCGAATATTTTTCTACACTGCGATTTGAAAGATCTTTGATGTATATAATACAAATTGCAGACAGTATATTTGGCTATTTCATCCATTCCTCCATGTTACTTTGCCCATTTTACAGAGATTATGTCTGAGTAATTAGTTTCCAGTAAATACATATGTGATTACCTTGAGTTAAGTTTTCTAAAGTTCTAAGAATATTAACACGTAGCGAACAGAAGGTTATAATAATCGTTTTTCTTGCCTTTGGCCTAAAATATTTTATGAGTATGCTCAACTATGTTCCCATTTCAGGACATCTCTCAAGAGACGACTTTTTTTAATACCGCAGAATGGTTCAGATTCGATAAAAAGGGTACTTAGGGGAAATTCGGTGAATATAATAGTCCGGGTGATATGGGGTCGCGTTTATTTCTATATCCTGCTAGCGCTATATCGATTACGATTGGCGAATTAAACACGTGTCGCCACCTATTGTTGCTCGCGCGATTCCGATTTGCTTTCGTGGAGAAGCCTTTAGTAAAAGTTTGTTCGGTGAGCATGCGGAGTTTCAGTAATGCTGCAAATTTGTTCCCATAGTTTGGAAGTTTTAAATAAAAATTTATTTTGGCGATAAGTACGTACACTGTAGCTACCAGTGCATAGCTATTCTAAACACTTGCAACCTTGTTAAAGCTAAAAGACAGACCTGGAATGTCTATAATATGCGCAAAGCAATATATGCTTAAAAAATGATCTATCCCCTTTGGCTGTTGTAAGAAGGCGGTGATTTTATTCAGAAAACATCACTTAGAAGAAAGCCAGTTTTACTACCAACCCTAGAAAGTGAATTAGTAACATATATCTACTAAAAATGAAGCGAAAATATTTTGGTTTAACACTCCGGGACGTGCATAAAATGGCTTTTCAGCTGCACGCTAATTTAACGCATATGTTTTCCCTTTTGAACGAAACGTCGACAAGAATTGGCTGTTCTGGAATGGCATGAAAACACTCTTAGTGTAAGAAAGCCGACAGGTACTTCAGTGGCAAAATAGGTTGGATTTAATAGAGAAAATGTCACTCAATTCTTTGATTTGTTAGAAAGCGTCATGTAAAAAAACAATTGCATATCTAATCGTGTATATAACGTTGACGAGACAGGCTTATATATAGTACAAAGTAAATGTTCAGAAGTCATTGCCATGCGAGGAAAGCAGCAACTTGGTGCAATTACTTCAGCAGAAAAGAGGTCCCTGGTTAATGTTGTTATCTGCATTAGCGCATGATCATTTTTCCCAGGAAAAAATCCAGCGAGTTGCTTAAAAAAAGGCGCTCCACCAGGGTCTCTCTTTGCCTTTGACCCATCTGGGTGGATCCAGACGGGCTTGTTTACCCAGTGATTCGACCATTTCTTAGAACATACCAAACCCACTAAATACAGTCCTATATTGCTGGTATTAGATAGGCATCATACTCATACCAGAAACTGGGATGTCATTCTGAAATCTAAGGAAAATATTGCGTCAATTATTTGAACTAATTTCGACGTATGTGAATTAATCGGAAATGCCTATTTAAAAATCCAAACAGGAGAGAGCAGTGAAAGACTGGAATTTATCCAGTAAGACGTAATATATTTTCGGAACAAGACATTTTAGCAGAAAAAAAGAAGCAAGAATATAATCAGCAGAGGATCTAAATATCACTGTACTTCCCTCAGATATTATTCCATTACCGCAGCTTAAAAAGAAGGAAGGAACATGTGGCAGAAAATATGGCAAGTCGGTGATACTCACATCGACGTCAAATAAGGACGAGTTAGACTAAAATATTTCAGTTGCTTCAAAGCAGAAAGAAATTGTTGTGAGAAGAATTGATGATGACACAACAGGACCTTATGGCATCAAGTCCATACCCAAGAAGATATGCAAACGACGCAATCCAACAATGTCAAGTTCAAAATCATCAGATTCATCCAATGACAACTTCGCGCTGGCCAAATTAATTTGAAAAAGATTCAGAATAAATGATCAATATTCTTCGGACGAAAATATTCCCGTAGTCTATTTGACTTCTAAAGACCCTAACTCAGATGTGTTTGTATGTTCTGTGAAGAATAATCTTCTAAAGCCTGATAATGAAGCCTGTACAGGAACGAGCACGAAACGCACATATGCGACTTTTGTAAATAGTAGACCATAACGTTCCCAAGTAAAAAATAAACAACTTTATAATTTTTGTTTTGTATTATCGTATCACATGTTACCAGACACTACTATATTCCAAATTACTCGCCAGTTTTCTTGACGCCTAAAAATGACATATGACAATTAAATATATTTTTGGTATTTTTCGAATACATGTTATTTATCAAATACACTTTTTTCCATAAAGTAAATGCATTTGGTTATCCATATCCTTATTATTATTAATTGTTACTGTACTGTTGTGATTTATAAGTGCATAATAAGAATGGGTGTTCCTTATTCACCGAACTTCCTCTACTAGGTCCATCTTTAGCAAGACTATTAACAACTCCTTTAACCCCTGACATCCATAATAAAGTTAGTTTGTTCTTTACCAGTTGTTTAAGGGACTGTTTGCCGTTTGAATAACTTCAAGTTATATACTACATACTCGTAGACTTTAGTGCAGTTTGTCTGCCGTAGGCAATAAATCTTTTGACTAAACTGAGGCATTTTTCATACACTCTTGTACATAACGATCTATTACTGGTAATTTCGCTTGCAATATTCTAGTAGCATTTCCGAAATCTATTGACAGTGATAATGATTCTTGCGCACGAGCTTAAACAAGGTTTTCATGGATTGCATAATTGTAACTTGTCTTTTTTATTTCTTATATCCTGAAATACTTTTTGGAAATGTATAAGTATAACGGGACTTGTATAAAACTGGAAAACCAAGGCAAAACATAGGAACAAATGGAAACATATCCTTTAAGAGGATCAATTTGTTGTAGAGCTATGCTTGATTGGGTAAAACTGTACTGATATGAAGGAATTCATAAATAAGCTTTACCAACTGTATGTATAGCAATACCCGCCATTGCTATGACCATGATGTAAGATACTCGAATCGACGATTTCGAGTGCACGTGTCTCACTGCAGTCTAGAAACCAGTCGAACGATTCGAAGCAAGATTTAACGACATCGAGAAATTTCTGGAAGCATTCTCCTCATTACTTGAGCTCTTGTCAGGGCTTGGTGAGACTCTAAATGTTATTAGCTTGCTGTCTCTATTGGCTGCGATCCTGTGCCATATGTACGGCTTCATGTGGGGATTTCTTCACCAGAGTCTTTATTTGGTCTGGCCATCATATTGGAGATCTTTCTCTTGGTCTTCGGCTCTACTCTACTACCAATAGTTCCATGGTCCCCGTTCTTCTAGCTATGTGGTCAAAGTGAATTAAGTACGCTCGGTGTCTGTCTTTTATATGAAGCTCTGCCAAAATGAACAGATTGGTTCTATGTTCTGTCCAGGATTCGGAAGCTAGATGCACCCATATATAAAAAAAAATTATAAATTATAAAGGGTAGTCTAATAAATATATTTGTAGCGTTCAGTAAATAAATGCTATAAATTAATTGTGTTTTAGTGTTAGTGTTAAAAGACTGTAAATAAAATAAAATAGCAGTAGAGTATATAATTATACCACAGACAAAATATATTAATACTTACTTTCTCTCTCCGTTCTTTGTATTATAACTTGAAATATAAAATCCTTCGGACTCTCGGTTTAATTTTGAATTGTATCGAATTCTCAAAACATAATTATGCCTCTTTTTAAATTTTTCTCTAATTTCTATGTACAACTGTTGCCCACCTAAGTATTCTAACATTTTAATTATAGTCAAATTGTTTCCGTGCCTATCCTGGATGATTTTGTCTAGAATGGTGAGATTTTTACAATGAAGTACGATAAAATTGGTTTCTTTTTCTGCTTGGAATTCGATGGAGACCTGACCTACAATTATATAAAGCTTAAAGTATTTTTAGAATTTATTTATTGAAATAGGGAATGTAATCGAGTAAAAGATAACCTAAATTTGGATAAATTTATTTTATAAAATGAAGTTGATAATTTAATTTTAAGTACGCCATGGAGGTGTCAAGCTGTTATTAATGCAGCTGCAGGAAACAGATTAACACACACATTTTTTGTTAAATTTTTATGTTTTATATTGACTTTTATGTTAAAAATGTTCATTAAAGTAGTACACTTCTTAACCTTTCTTTGATTATTTCATCATAAAGAAACCATAGTGCACTAAAATTAAGCTAATTTTATTGCTGACTAATCAAGAATTATAACGGTATGTCACTTTTTAAAATCCCATCAAAATTCAGTGATATATGACAAAAAACTTTGTGTTCTCTAGACATTTTTAATGTGTTTAGTTAGGAGAAAATCTGGTGTTACGGACAGCGTAATAATTATAATGCTAAAACGGAACTGGGCAGGATATGTTGCCAGAGTCAGACATTGAAGATGGAACGAGAAAATTTCAGAATGGAGACTTCCAAATATGATGCTTATAGTAATCGAGGACGTCCTTCAATAAAGTGGCCATACGACATCAAGCTCATCCAGCACAACTGGATTCAAGGTGCTCAAGATCGAATGCAATGGAATTATTTAAAAGAGGCCTATATTCAGCAGTGAACTGACAACGGCTAATGACGATGATGATAGTCTTCTTGCTTATTTCTTTGTATATCCTAATACCCAAGACGAAAGGAAGCAACCGAAGGGTTCTAGATTAAACATAAACATTTTACTGCCTTTCTGGTGGCCTTATATATTCACAGAAACGTATGGAATCTGGATCTCTTTGTGAACGCATCCATCAAGCCAGACGAGAAATTGTTTAAACAGATACTTATGGTACTTAATATATAGTCAAGAAAATCGATATTTTGGAATGATTGCTATAAAATCAAATTTCTAACTGCCAAAATTATGGAAATTACAATGGTATTGTCAACAGAGAGGAAAAAAAAAATTTTGAAATTTTGTCAAGTTGAGAACATCAATTCTATAATTTAAGAATTGCTATAGAGTATAGTAGTCAAAATCTGGAAGAATACTATGAAGAACTAAAGCAGATAAAAGAAATTTCCCATGCCCAAAAAACAAAATAATTTAATAACTAAATGCTAGCAATACTCCAGTCAATGAAAAAAATAAGCTGATAAAATGATAAAATGATAAAATGATAAAATGATAAAATGATAAAATGATAAAATGATAAAATGATAAAATGATAAAATGATAAAATGATAAAATGATAAAATGATAAAATGATAAAATGATAAAATGATAAAATGATAAAATGATAAAATGATAAAATGATAAAATGATAAAATGATAAAATGATAAAATGATAAAATGATAAAATGATAAAATGATAAAATGATAAAATGATAAAATGATAAAATGATAAAATGATAAAATGATAAAATGATAAAATGATAAAATGATAAAATGATAAAATGATAAAATGATAAAATGATAAAATGATAAAATGATAAAATGATAAAATGATAAAATGATAAAAATAAACATATAAATAAAGAATGCGAAGAACTAGAGAGACATGCAAACCGGTATGAATCCCATGAGCTATATAACAAAGTCCGATATATATCCAGGGAATTTAAACCAATCACACAAACAATAATGGATCAAAACCAACATATTATAAATGACGAGAAAGGGATTGCGGAGGTATGGAGAAAATATTGTCAAAGTCTATATGAAGATGATCCCAAGAATGAAAATCACGATGAGTTCACTGCAGTGAGAGAACCAAACATTCTAAAGTCAGAGGTAGAAAAAGCAATTAATAAGTTGAAAAATAGAAAATCTCCTGGCGCAGACAAGATCACCGCAGAAGTTTTAAAAGAGACTGAAGATGTTGGAGTGAATGTTATGCATATGATCTGCAAAAAGATTTGGGAAACCGGAGAGTGGCCCAACGACTGGACAACATCTACTTTCATCCCTATATTAAAAAAAGGAACTCAGCTAGATTGCAGCAACTACAGAACGGTAACTCTAATATCCCATGCAAGCAAGGTTCTACTTCATATAATACATGAAAGATTAAAAGGTTTTCTATTGCCTCAGATATCAGAAGAATAAGCGGGATTTGTCCCAGGAAAAGGCACAAGAGAACACATCCTTAATGTCAGACAGCTAATCGAAAAAACTCGTGAATTCAATACTCCTATGCTTATGTGCTTTGTGGATTACACAAAGGTCTTCGATAAAGTCAAATGGCAGCAGCTATGGTCCATACTAGCGGAAATGGGAACACCCCACCACTTAATTCAACTAATTAGAAGTCTATATGAAAATAATAAGTGCACAGTAAAAATAAACAATACCCATTCCGATCATTTCAGAACAGAGGCAGGTGTCAGGCAGGGATGCATAATCTCGCCAAATCTGTTTAATATCTACAGCGAACACATTATGCGAAAGGTAGTAGACGGATGGAAGGGCGGAATATCAGTGGGAAGTCAAAAAATCAATAACGTGAGATATGCTGATGACACTTTAATAATCGCGGCAAATCAGGAAAAAATGAAAGACATAATGAGATGTTTGGAGGAAAAAAACATATGGACTAAAGCTAAATACGAGTAAGACAAAGATCATGATAGTAGACAGAGCTCGAAATAATCTTCAACACATTAAAGAAATTGGGGGCTTTGAAGGAGTAAATACTTTCATATACCTGGGGTCCCTAATAACAAATGACGGAGGGTGCGACAGAGAAAAACGTAGAAGGTTGACTATTACTAGAGCAGCCATGATAAAGCTGGTAAGGGCGCTCCCATAGTCACATATGCATCCGAAACGTGGACCTTAAAGAAAGCGGATAAAAATAAACTGGACGCTTTTGAAATGTGGGTATACCGCCGCATGTTGAGAATATCTTGGATTGATCATCACACTAACGTATCGATATTAGAACAACTTTAAATAAAGGATAGATTGCTTAAACCAAGACAACAGAGATATTTGCAGTATTTTGGACACATTGCTAGAAGAACAGGCACGATGGAAAAACTGATAGTAGTGAGTAGAGTTGAAGGAAAAAGACCTGGGGGAAGATCTCCCAGCCGTTGGGTAGATCAAACAAAAATATTGATTAACCAAGGGTTACATAAAGCCGAACAACTAGCCCAGGACAGAGAAGGATGGAGGGAAATCGTAAAAAGCCGTGAAGGCCTGATGGTGTAACCACATCCCAAAAGGGATAGGACTGAGGAGGAGGACATACTTTAAAAACGAAGCCTCAAAATATCGATTACGATTTACAAAATACCTCTAGAGTGACTATCTGGGCAAGTACAATTGTTTAAATAATTGCTCTCCGGGATAAACAAATTAAATAACTTTTAAGCTGTTTGGTCAATCCGTTTGAAATTTAGCACGCTTTAATAACTCATTAACTGCCACACTTTTCAATAGTTATATTACATGTCATTATGCAAAAAAAGACGTTATTAACATTTATAAATTAATGCAAAAATAAGGGTGTTTTGAAATTAGCTCGGTCAATTCTTTATGCATTTTAATTTTGTACCTCTCAATATTAAAGAACTTTTTATGGTATATAACTTTTATTAAACCATTCTTCTCTAAAATATATAAGAAACTTTTTTCTTTCATTTTTTACGATTGTTTAATTATTTATAATAAAAAACAAAGCAAAATTAGCAGTATATCTTCACATAATTATCATCAGCTACCCCTCATATACTTTTTAGAACCCTTAAATACCTGTATAGGATTTTTTAACCTTTTTTGACTGGTGTAAACCAGTCTCATGCGAAAACTGTGAAAAAATCACGTAATAGTCGTATTAATATATAATAATTGGACGTAGTTAAGCAGAAAACGTCCAACCCAAAAAAAGTGATTGTTGGGAAATTGAGTTTAAAAGATTTTAGTGTGCCCTAGCTAAACTATGCATAATTTATTCGCCTGGCAATGATTTTAAGATAATGATATTCATCTCGTAGGCACCTCGTTTGTAATTTCTTTTAAATGTAAGTTTCAATGAAGTTATTTTGAAAATTTTAGGTTGGACGTTTTTAACAAAAAACAAAAATCCGAAAAAAATTTCGATAAAACATACTTATGTGGGTTGGAATCTTTCAGATAAATAAATAATGTCATATTTTTATAAAAATTTTAATGATCCAAAGAAACAAAATTACAATGATTTTCTTATGTAAATGTAAATTTAAAAAAAGTTTTAATTATTGTGGGTATCTACCTCAAAATCTAGAACTGGAACATTAAATCCATCAACGTCTTCGACTACATTAGCACTTGTAAAATTTTCATAAAACGGTTTAGCGTCTGAAGGAATTAGATGTAAATAGCTTTTAATATCGTTAATTTTATCCTCTGACAGGGGTTTACCATTGGGCCAGAGTTGCATAAGCAGCGCCGAAAAGCTCTCTGTATTTAATCGTCCTCGTCGCTCAATATCCAAACATACACTTTCATCGCCAAAATAACTAGGTTTCATAAAGATGTGGTAAGGATTTTCTTTTGTTAATATAATTTGTTTTGTCTCCAACCAATTTATTTTTTCTTTATTGGTGCCAACTTTTCTGTTTATTGTGGCCTTCTCGAGCTGGTGGGTACTCAAAAACCATTCCTTTTTCATTTGTGTAGCTGTTATTGGAGACTTTTTACGACATGAATTTATTATATTTATATAGTCTAAAGGTGTATATATTCGTTCTTGACGTTTGAGTTGACATTCTATATCCCCAAAATCTTTATCATTTGGTAGAAAACTATGGCCGGAAATCAGGAATTTAAATGTTATAGTTTTTATATTATGGCTGGTTTGAAGAAGACTGGCCATGAGGAGTGTTATTTTAATATTACGGTTCTGGCCTCCACAAGAATCAGACCACAATATAAGATGTTCA